ACATGGGTACTGGGCTAAGGAGGTTGTTCAGGGGGTTGAGGTTCTCTGAAACTTGTGACTTGGCTTGTAGAGACACAAATGGACAGGTGGCTGGTTAAAATAGGTCTTGTGGCCACCAGCCAGAGGAACTTAGCTGACCTGACAACCTTTGGATTCCCTCATTCTCTATTCCCCTTAGCAAACCAAGGATCTCCTTGTCCACCAAGAGTCTGAGGCTTTTAGTTCCCAATGGAAGATGATGTTTCCACAATGAATCCTTGGAGTGAAAGTCGGGATTTCTTTGTTCAGCATACCAAACATCATGGTTAAGATGGCAGGCTCATGGGTCAGTCTTCAGAGAACAATCCTGACTCTACCCCTTCATTGATTCTGTTAATATTAACTGCCCACCCTTGCTGCAGTGTCCTAGGCAATGGGAAAGAAGCCATGATTGGGACAAAATTCATGCACTCATGCAGTTTTCATTCTAAATTGGGGAGGTAAGATGTTGAAACCTTGGAATCCTCAGTTTCTTCATCCTTAAAATAGGGATAATAACACCAGGCATGGTGATGAAAACATGTAAACCAGCAACTTGGGAGACTGAGGCAGGAGGATTACAAGTTTGAAGCCAGCCTCAGCAACTTAGTGATATCCTGTCTCAAATAAAAACTAAAAAGGAATGGGATGTAGCTCAGTGGTAAAGTACTCCTGGTAAAATCCCCAGTAACCGCCCCCCCCCCCAAAAAAAAAAAAAGGTTTTGGGGAAGAGGGATAATAATATTATTAGAATAGTTTTAAGGATTAAGTGAAATAATCCTAAATCACATAGTGCCCAGCATGTGATAAATAGTCAGTTTTTGATACCTGTTATTGTTACTGGGGAAGATGTCCTTGTTAAGTATTCTAATCCTTTATCTTTAGGTAATTCAATACCAAACTGTTCGATATGATATCCTCCCTTTATCTCCTGTGTCTCGGAATCGGCTAGGTGAGTATGGTGGCTGGAAAGACCCCTTGAGATGAAGTAGGACTCCACCTGTGGGCTGGAGGTCAGTTGCTGTTTTTCTTTCCCATTGTGGTTCAGCCCAGGTAAAGAGGAAGATCCTGGTGCTGGATCTGGATGAGACACTTATTCACTCCCACCATGATGGGGTCTTGAGGCCCACAGTGCGGCCTGGAACGCCTCCTGACTTTATTCTCAAGGTGTGTGGGGATGGATAGTGATGAAAGGGTTGTGTCCGTTACTCTGCCCAGTCCTGGGCTCCCTTGCCCAGAGTATCTGGTCCCCGATCCCTGGCACCTGTGTCAGCCTGGAAAGCAGGAGGTAGTGGGGATTACAGAGATGTTGTCTAGGCCTGTGTCATGGTGTTCAGAATTTGCTCAGTCCTTCCTTTCTACAGGTGGTCATAGACAAACATCCTGTCCGTTTTTTTGTACATAAGCGGCCCCATGTGGACTTCTTCTTAGAAGTGGTGAGTATACACAAGCTAAAGGGAATTCTGTAATGAAGGAATAGTTGTAGGGCTTGGGGATTTTAGGGGATTTGGGGAAAGGGGCGAGAAGTGGGTGAGGGCAATTTTGGAGAGGGAAGGGTGTATGAAGGTAAAGGAATGACTTTCAGTAGTTGGGGTTCATTTGTTATACTGATATAATTCTATTCTTCCATGGGCATCCTACTCATTTGTGTTTGTATTTTTGAATCTTAAGTTATGGAAAGCCTCACACACTGATTTTGAAGGTTTGGGGAATTTCAGAATTTCCTGTCCTCAAAGACATTTCATGTTGCTAGGAGGCCTGAAGCATTAGACTGAAAAAGAACTGTACACCAGTTTAAAAAACCCAGGGTGGAGTAGGGGGAGGTGTGTGTGTGTGTGTGTGTGAGAGAGAGAGAGAGAGAGCGCGAGCGAGCATGCAGGTGCATGAGACATAAAGAGAGGGAGCGAGACACACACACACACACACACACACACACTCACCCTCACCCTGTACATCTTAATGAATCATCACCTCCTGTGACACCTCTTTTTCTTCCAATCTATTTCAGGTGAGCCAGTGGTACGAGCTGGTGGTGTTTACAGCAAGCATGGAGATTTATGGCTCTGCTGTGGCAGATAAACTGGACAATAGCAGAAGCATTCTCAAGAGGAGATACTACAGACAGGTAAGGAGCTAGAGTCCAGGTTTAAAAGTGATGCAGGCCACTAGGGAGGGATCTGGCTTTGAGGCAGTTGCCTTGATGGGGAAGTTGGGGAGGTGTACTCCATAATCCCCTGCCTTTCAGCACTGCACTTTGGAGTTGGGCAGCTACATCAAGGACCTCTCTGTGGTCCACAGTGACCTCTCCAGCATTGTGATCCTGGATAATTCACCAGGGGCTTACAGGAGCCACCCAGGTATGGGGGAAGGTGATGAGTCTGTCAGGGCCAGGACATGACTCTGGGGTTGTTTTTTTTTTTTTTTTTTTTTTCCTCCCCACCCCGCTTTGGCAGTGCTGGGGATGGAACCCAGGGTCTTGTACATGCTGGTCAACCGGCGAGCAACATACTCAGCCCACTTATGAGGCATTTTGAATGGAGGGAACTAGAAGGCTGGATACCTGGGCTTTGAGGTCTGGGATTTCCTGGTCCACGTGCAAGTTCTCTATTTCAAGTGAGATACCCGCCCCCATGTGTGAATTTCACAAGTCAGATTTCCTGTATCATTTGTTTCAGGTGGGCCACAATGACAATAAAATTTAACTAGAAACTTCACACTAGTATGAATTTGGGTGATTAATGTATAATCAGGAAGATTTTTACTTAGACTGTTGACTTGGGTGGTGGAGGTATAGTTTTTTTTTTTTTTTTTTAAGTAATGATTTTCAGGAAAAACTTCCAGTATCTCTTGAATCCTTTCTTCTCATCTACATTTTCACCCACTCCAGACAACGCCATCCCCATCAAATCCTGGTTCAGTGACCCCAGTGACACGGCCCTTCTCAATCTGCTTCCAATGCTGGATGCCCTCAGGTAAGGGAAGTGAGTTCTAGATAATCTGGATTTCTGAGGAAAGATAGATAGAGGTGGGGGATCCCAAGGGAATAAAAACATTTGCCGAGTTTTATTTACTTACCTCTCTTCCCTTAAGAGCTTAAATGTTTGGACAAGGTCTTCTCAATTCCAAAGCTCGTCATTCTTAGCCATAGGGTTTTGTTCAAATGACCTGTCTCATCATGTGAAAGTGGTGTTTAATTCTGCCCCCTATCCAGTGAGGTGCCTTACACTAGTGTTGTGAGGATGTCAACTATAAGGTACTCCACCAATGCAAGTTATTGTCATCCCAGGTTCACCGCTGATGTTCGATCCGTGTTGAGCCGAAATCTTCACCAACATAGGCTCTGGTGACAGCTGCTGCCCCTCCACCTGAGTTGGGGTGGGGGGGAAGGGAGGGCAAGCCCTTGGGATGCCGTCAGATGCCCTGTCCAATGTGAGGACTGCCTGGGCAGGGTCTGCCCCTCCCACCCCTCTGCCCTGGGAGCCCTACACTCCATTTGGAGTCTGGATGGACACATGGGCCAGACTGTGAAGCAGCCTCACTCTAACTTCGTGTTCACACTCCATGGAAACCCCAGACTGGGACAGGTGGAGGCCTGGGAGAGCCGAAACTGTCTGGTGGAGAGGCAGGACTGGCTGGAGTGAGAGACAGACATACCGTGATCCAGGAGGCTCAAAGAGAAGCCAAGTCAGCTTTGTTGTGATTTGATTTTTTTTTTAAAACTCTTGTAAAAAAACTGATCTAATTCTTCACTCCTGCTCCAAGGGCTGGGCTGTGGGTGGGAGACTGGGATTTTGGGCCACTGGATCCTCCCTAAACTTGTCCTTCCCTTTCTTTCCCTCTATTTTTCTCCCTAGATTCCCTCCAACCTGTAACTAGCTTTCTCTCTTTTTTTCCCCTTTCCTCTCTTTTAAACCATGCATTATAACTTTGAAACCAAAGCTGCCCTAGGTCCTTCTCTGGGGTTTTGGGAAATGAAGGGAGGGGTATGTGTTCACATCCACCCTGTCCCAGAGCAAGTTGGTGATGAATATGGAGATGGAGTAGTGAATAGTAGGTTTCAGCGACTTTGGCTGGAAGGACCCAAGTGACAGAATGAGAGTGGGGCAGCTTCAGAGCAGTAGTGTATGGAATGAGAAAGGAGCTGAATCCTGGAGACTCCAAAGGGCATATAGCTGGAGAAAAACCTGGCTTCAGGGGACTGACGTGGCCTGGCTGAGCCCGCGCTGCCCCCAGGTGGATGGCACCCAGGTTCGGGGAGGGCCCTTGCCCGCTCTTGCCGTGGCCCCGCCTCCCTGGCACTTCCTCCCCGTAGCCGGCTCTACTTCTTTGCACCCGCCACGTGACGCTCCGCCCTTCTCTGAGATCACATGACTTTCGTAGAAAACAAATTCTGGAGTGTTCTTCCGCCCTGGCGTGGTTCCTGCCTTTTGGAGTTCATTTCGAATCCTTATCGGTCCGCTCATTCCTGGTCCTTAATCCTTATATACATCTGTCCGAACATCTATTTCTTTCCTTTCCTCTTGTTTCTGGAGATCATTTCCGCCACTTGGGTACTACTTTGTTTTGGTGTCAACGGCCGCCTTCAACGTAGCAACACGTTTCCTGAATAGCTAGCCTTGTAATTGTCTCTGGTCTTCTCCTACGTTATTTCCGAAAATAACTTCTGGAGAACCAAGTCTCATACTATGATTATCATCTCTTATCCCTTTTCATTCCAAACTTAGTGGCTGGGGGAGGTGGAGAAAGGGTTTTCAGTATTTTTCACCGTAGTAAAACCCAACAACCTTTGCTACGTTGCCTGCGTAGCCCACAAATTGATTCCAAAGAGATTACGCAGTTGACGTGAGGTGGACGGACTGTGGGTGGTGCTACGCTAGCGGCGTTAGTGCGCTGTGCCACTGGCGTATCTTAGCAGGCGGGGCAACCCCGGGAGGTCGGGGGCGGGGTTGGTGAATAGGGAAGTGGCGCAAGTTCGTGGATCGCTCCGCTGAGTCCGCCCGCGCGTCTCCGCCGTCGCCGCCGCCCCCCCATCCCGGCCCCCCTCCCCCCGGGTTCCCTCAGCCCAGCTCGGTCCAGCCCGGTTCCCGGGAGGATGAAGTTCGTATACAAAGAGGAGCATCCGTTCGAGAAGCGCCGCTCTGAGGGCGAGAAGATCCGAAAGAAATACCCAGACCGGGTCCCGGTGAGGACAGTAGCCAGGTCGAGGGCTCAGGGTGCTGACGCTGACGCCAAGCCTGGGCTTGGGTTTGAGACCAGCAGCGCCAGAATTGGGCTGCCCGTCTGTGGTGGGGCAAGAATTGAGCCCAAAACTGCTGTCTCTGAGACGAGGGTTGAAAGGAGTGGAATAGCTGAAGAGCTGGGGGTTGAGGGGATGTCGACCGGAGAGAGAAATTTTGGCATCTGTGTGAGTGAGGCCGTGGGGATTTGACAGTCTGGGCTTTTTATGGTCATCCTCCCAGCTAGCCGAGTTTTCGAGATTGAAGCTCGAGTTAGCCCAGACAAGTCACCCTCTCCTTTGATTAAGGTACTTGTTTGTTATGACGCGCTTTTTGGGGATCGATCCTGGGTATTTAGGTGAGCCAGAGAGGTCAGGATCTCTGGACTCAGTGCTGCATCGCATGTACAGAGACAAAGAAAAATGAGTCTGGGGCAGGTGTGAGTACTGGGAATATATTGTAGCTTGAGTTCTTGATCAGTGGAGCTGTGGTCTGTAGTCTTTATGTCTCTTAATTTTCATCTTTCCTTTATCAGGTGATAGTAGAAAAGGCTCCTAAAGCTCGGATAGGAGATCTGGACAAAAAGAAATACTTGGTGCCTTCTGATCTCACAGGTGGGAACCTGACCCAAGACCTAGGTTTGCTTCCTTTTGGTGGGAGTGCCATCTCTGTGGGAGGAGGCTCCATCTAGCAGCTGCTCTTTGAAAGGCATTTATGACCTCTGTGACTTTCTTGCACCTTATATCTTTGGCAGTTGGTCAGTTCTACTTCTTGATCCGGAAGCGAATACATCTCCGAGCTGAGGATGCCTTGTTTTTCTTTGTCAACAATGTCATTCCACCCACTAGTGCCACTATGGGTCAGCTATACCAGGTATGGTTCCTGGGAAGTAATAGAGGCTTTGGAAGGGAGTTCTGGGAGAGCTTGAGGGGAAGAAAGTGCTAATTTTTTGAATTAACATTAGTAGCATTAAAACCTCCTGTCTGTCTTGGGTTAGAGTTGGACAGAACAGTGGGAGTAGAGAGAAGGGAATCAACCAGTGAACTAGAGGAACTGTTCTTATGGTGACTACCTAGTTCCCTTCCTCATTCCAAAATATCAGAAAACACAAATATTTTGCCTCAGGACTACTGCAGAGCCTACTGTCAATGAAGGAGAGTAAGGCACTGGTTTTGGGGGTCCTTAAGAAGAATGGTTCTTGAAGAATGTATCTGGTTAGTGAATGGTTCAAGTAACTGAAACCAGTTCCCTGAACACCAGTTTCTCTTTTCATTCCCAGGAACACCACGAAGAAGACTTCTTTCTATACATTGCCTACAGTGATGAAAGTGTCTACGGTCTGTGAAGCTGCTGCCCCTGAGGTGGGGGGTCCCATTCCACAAAGAGAGAGGTGGCACCCTTTTCTTGACCTCCACCTCCTTCAGGCTCATACACACCACCTCCCTTCTTTGGGACCTGCACTTCTTAATGTTTGAGGCTCTTTCTCCAGCCCCTCTTAGCAGGAGGGGTAATGGTGGACATGACCTCTTGTACCTCTCCTTTCTCCCCTTTCCCCACCTTTCTTTGTCCTCCATCCTGACTCCACTTTAGACTTCTTGATTGTCAATCTCTGTCACCTCCAGTGATTGTTTTGGTTTCTGTTCCTTTCTAACTGCCCAGGGGGCTCAGAACCCCAACAATCCCTTCCTTTCATTACCTTCTTTTTGGGGGGTAGATGGAAGGGCCTGAAATTGTCGGGGGAAGGTAGGAGGCACATCAATAAAGAGGAAACCACCAAGCTGAACTGAATTTTGCTTTGTGTTGCTCTCTCCGGCTTTTCTTTTCAGTGTTTCCAAGATCTTGTGGGCTTCAGTGGTGGGGTAAGAGGAGGGAATGGGTATTATTTGGAGGAACAGATATATTTTTTGGTTTATTCTGTTGATATTGGGCATTTCCCTGTCAGCATAAAAAGGATGCGTTTGTTGTCAATGGTGAAACACTAGTTTCATGTACGGGTTTCTTGGATTCTAAATACTCTTTTTTTCATTGTTGGTTCCTGTGAAGAAAGTTTGAAAGTATCTGCTTTAGATAAACATATCCAATTTTGTTATTCCAGATAATTCATGTGTGGGAGGTGGTGCAAGTACTGTTGTCCTCAGTTGCCTGTCACAAATTTTGTGTCAGCCTGTATGATTCCGTGGAGTAGAATCTGAGGGAGGGAGAAAACTGGGAGGGGGGGGGACACAAAACGTTATTACCAAGAGAACTTCATTTCCCAGCAATCATTTCTCCGCCCTGCCGGAAGTGGGGCGGTCTTTCGGGGGAGAAAGAAGGTGCAGAATGAGGCAGTATGGTGGCCGAGAGTTCTAATCCCTTCTTCCCCTTATTTATCGGTCCCGCCTAGCCTACATTTCCCAGCGGCCTCTGCGTGTTCTTCCGGTCTATGCACTAACACCCGAGCTCCCCGCCACTCCCCGGGGACGGGGAGAGGCTTATTGCGCTTGCGCCAGCCCGTGGCTTGCTGGGACCTGAAGTTCCAGAGGCTTATATGGTCCCCTTTCCGCTGTCCCCGGATGGACTACAAGCTCCTTGGTGCATTGCGCGTCGGCGCCGACGGAGGGGGGTCGTGGGGGAAAGGAGGGAGGGAGGAGGGAGAAGAGAGGAGGAGGAGGGAGCAGGCGGCCGGCGGCGCTGGGGGAGGGGGCCCGGTCCGGGAGTGCGGGAGGCAGTGGTAAAGGGAGGTGGCGGCAGCAACTAGCGGACTGGAGTCTCAACGGAGCCGAAGCGTTCACTTCTGTGGAGCGAGGCAGTAGGAGTACCGAGCACCAGAGGCGGCACCGGGATCCCCGGCTGAGGGGAGGGGGGCGCCGGACCGGGAGGAGGGGAGGGGGCGATGCTGGAAGCCATGGCGGAGCCCAGTCCCGAAGGTGAGCTCTCGACCGGCACGGAGCTGGCGGCGGGCGGGCAAGGAATCAATTGGCAAACTTGGAGGTCGAGCCCCAGAGCTCAGCGGGGGAGTGCGGGGAAGGGGTCGGGGGCCTGGCCCTGGAGCTGGGAAAGCGACGAGTTATAGACCCTGGAGAAAGGAGTGGGAGACTGGGTTGGGGTACTTGGAGATGAGACCCCGTGTGTGGTTTCTTTTTCGCGGTGGGGGAGCGGCAGGGGATAGGAGCTGGAAACCCTGAGCTTCGGGGGTTAGGGGCCGAAAGGACCTTGTGCTGGTTGGGGCCGTGGAGCCAGGGAGGTTGGGGAAATCAGGGGCCCGGAGAGTTGTTGAGGAGGGAGGATGTATAAGAGGACAGAGTGAGGGGCTCGGTAATTGGTCGAGGTGGGGGAGTTTGTGGCGGTGGTGCCGGAGCTCCTCGTAGTTGCCGCCAGAGATAGCCCTGTGATTGTTAGAGGAGTGGGCAGGTAGTTGTGGGGAGAAGTGGGGTCTGGGTATTGTCTGTGGTAGAGAGACTTGTGCCGGGGGCTAGTTGTGGGGCGAGAGAGCCGGAGAGCGAGGCGAACTGGGTAGTTGTAGGAGGCGGTGGGGCAGGGTTGGGGGTTAAGACCGGCGCCTCGCGGGGGGAGGTTGGTCGGCGAGGGTTAGAGCCTGGGAGTTGCGAAGGGTGAGGGGGGCTTCCGTGGAAAGAGTAGCTGGTTTGGGGGGCTGGAGTTTAGGGATCTGTAGCCTAGTGACTTGGTGAGTACGGGGGCGGAGGGGGGGGCGGCGGCCGGCGAAGCTCGGAACAGGGCCCGGGGGCCCGGCGGGGAGCCCGAGGAGCTCGAGACGGGGAGGGGCCAAAGCCCCGGATGGGGGCGGAGGGACGGCGAAAATTGTGGGGAGCCTTGTGCGTGTGGGGGGGCAGGTGGGGCCGCGTCCGGGTTAGAGCTCTCCGGTCTGTCCCAGACACGAAGTAGCGTTGGATGTGTGTGCCCGCGTATGTTTGGGGTGAGGGTGAGGGGCGCGCCCGGCCTCGTGCTCGAGAAGGGGCCGGAGGGCGGAGAGCGGTTCAGCGTGGTCATCCTGGACCCTGGGTGCCGGCGGGCAGTGTGTGCGGTCTTGGAGGGCCCGGGGCGGTGGAGCGCGGCGATGTAGGAACTCCGGGCTCTGAGCGCTTGTGAAGGACGGGGGCGGGCGGTGGCCGGGGCTTGGCCCCGGGAGCGGTGTGGCGGGGTGGGGCGCTGAGATCCGAGTAGACTGAAGAAGCCGTGAGTGGGGGGGGCGGGGCGCCGGGCCTCCGGGTGGGGGGGGGGGGAGCGCTATAGCGAGGCCGAGAGGGCGCCGCGCCCAGACTCCGCCCCTCTTGGGGCGGAAGGGGGAGCAGGGGCGGGTCCAACACAGCTGGGGGCCTGCTGGTCTGGCTAGGGACCTAGAGGAGAGGAGGGGGTTCACTTGGGACCCCCATGCGTTAGAGGTGGAGACTGTTTTACACAGACTGTTTCCTAGTGCCTTGACTCAGCTTTTATTACTTCCACAGATCCACCTCCGACACTTAAACCAGAGACTCAGGTGAGATGTCCCTTATCTTTACAGGCTGGTATCACCGCCTACCAACAGTACCCTTCCTCTTTTTCTAGATTTCTCACTTTAGGGATTGTGCCTTTGGGAATGCTCCTCCAGTCTGGCTTCCATATGATCCTTGTTTCCTTCCTTTCAGCCACCAGAGAAACGTCGGAGAACAATTGAGGATTTCAACAAATTCTGCAGTTTTGTTTTGGCCTATGCTGGTTACATTCCCCCCAGCAAAGAGGTAGGGACAGGAGAACAGCTACCTTGAGGTGGGATTGTGTTATTTTATAGGAGGAACCTACCTGAAATGATATATAAACCTGGGTAAATTTGAAGTTCAGGGCTGTGATAGGAAAGCTGGTGTGTGGGAGGGGTGATAATAGAGAAAACTAGCTTGAGCAGCAGTGATAGAGGGGATCTGGAGGCATTGGTCAAGATTTTGGAATGGTATTGTGTTACTGGAATGGAAGTGTTTCTGGATGCTTTTAGGGAGCTGAAAATGGTAACAAATGAGGCTGTACAGAAACAGTTCAAGAAATGTTGCTTTGGTCTGTGGGGGTACAGTGTTCCATAGACCCTGGGCAGGTATGGGGAGATGCTGAGAACTTGAGGGTAGAGGTAACATGAAAGTGATCAGTAGGAGATGCTGATAGGAATTGGGATAAGAATAAATTTTCAGTATAGTGAGACTTGGTGGTTGGTGTCTCTGGTTGTCAGGCTAGGTTTGTGAAGCAGCTGATGAGATACTAGGTACCTGCTGACCCTGCTCTCCCTTGTTTTTAAGGAAAGTGATTGGCCAGCCTCTGGCTCCAGCTCTCCATTGCGTGGTGAGAGTGCTGCAGACAGTGATGGCTGGGACTCAGCCCCCTCTGATCTTCGAACCATCCAGACCTTTGTTAAGAAAGCAAAGTCATCTAAGAGAAGGGCGGCTCAAGCAGGTCCCACTCAGCCTGGACCCCCAAGGTCCACCTTCTCACGTCTGCAGGCTCCTGACAGTGCCACCCTGCTTGAGAAAATGAAGCTCAAGGACTCTCTCTTTGATTTGGATGGGCCCAAAGTGGCATCTCCACTGTCCCCCACCTCCCTGACACATACCTCCCGGTCCCCTGCTGCTCTCACCCCAGTGCCCCTTTCCCAGGGAGATCTCTCGCAGCCTCGAAAGAAGGACCGAAAGAACCGAAAATTGGGGCCAGGAGGTGGGGCTGGCTTTGGGGTGCTTCGGCGGCCTCGGCCAAGTCCTGGGGATGGGGAAAAGAGGTCTCGAATTAAGAAGAGCAAGAAGCGGAAGTTGAAAAAGGCTGAGCGGGGGGATAGACTCCCACCTCCTGGCCCTCCCAGGGCACCCCCCAGTGATACAGACTCTGAAGAGGAGGAGGAGGAGGAGGAAGAGGAGGAGGAAGAGGAAGAGATGACAGCAGTGGTAGGGGGTGAAACCCCAACCCCTGTACTCCCAACACCCCCTGAGGCCCCTAGGCCTCCTGCCTCAGTGCACCCTGAAGGAGCCCCTCCCACTGACAGTGAAGGCAAGGAGGTGGGCAGCACTGAAACAAGCCAAGATGGAGATGCCAGCTCCAGTGAAGGTGAAATGCGGGTCATGGATGAGGACATCATGGTAGAATCAGGTGAGGGGTTTGGGGCTGCTCTCTGAACAATGGGGATGGTGGGATTAGGGTGGAGGGCGTTGGTGATAGATCCAAGAGCTCAGGCAAAACATCAAATGAACCTTCTTTTCCCCAGGTGATGACTCGTGGGATCTGATCACGTGTTACTGCCGAAAGCCCTTTGCAGGGCGGCCCATGATTGAGTGCAGCCTGTGTGGGACATGGATTCACCTCTCCTGTGCTAAGATTAAGAAGACCAATGTCCCTGACTTCTTTTATTGTCAGAAATGCAAGGAACTGCGGCCCGAGGCCCGGCGATTAGGGGGGCTTCCCAAATCTGGAGAGCCCTGACGTTTCTAGGCTGGAACTTGAAAATGACAACATAACTTGGGAACTGAGCCTCAGAGTCCTCAGTCTGTTCCCCTGGAGCTTGGATACTGACCTTATTTCAGGGCAGGAATCCCCAAAGGAGACTTGTTTGGAATGGAAATGAGTGGCTTTCGATCCTACCCTATCCTTCCTCCCCATTCTATGGACTTGAAATTGGACATATTGTAGTTGGGGGAAGGAAGCTATCCGGGCCTATAGACACAAAATGTCTCTCCCTTGGACCTCTCACCCCTCACTTTTTGGGTCAGGGTTCAAATTGGGATGAAATGGGTCAGTTGTCTATAAAACTAGTGTAAATATAGCACTCCCCTCCATCATCTTTTCTTCTACTTCACTCCCCATTTATTTTCTTCCACACCGGTTATATTTTTAATTTTGGACTTCCCCCTTTGAGCATGGCAGCTCAAAGGTGGAGTACCAGAGCCTGGCTGAGTGAGGAAGGAAAGCAGAAAGGTGATGTTTCTCACCTCTTTTGTTTTTAATAATATTGGCCAGCTGTTTGTACAGACAGCCTGCGTGTTGTAAATAAAGCAGAGTGGGCTCTTGTGTTTATAGCCCTCACTCAGTGTCCTGTTTGGGAGGGAGACTTGGGAAAAGCTGGCAGAAGACTGGCTGGGCCTGGGGCTCCAATCTGAAAGTGGGCCGCCTCTGGGCTTTACCTATTCCAGATACTCCTGGAGTAACCAAGCCTGAAACCCCAGTTGGCTTGCCCCTCCCCACTTCAGGTTATACCCAGCCCCAAACAATCCCCACTCTCAGTGGTGTGCTCAGGAGTGCTTAGCGCTCCCTCAGTGGGAGGAGGACTGCGCGGTGGGAGCCCGTTGCCTGCTCCCCGAGCGGAGCGGAGACCAGTTTCGGCCAAGGTGCTCTCTGACCTCCTGTGGGGGCACATTTGGGGGAGGGGCCGTTTTGGACCCAGAGGCGGTTGCCTAAGGCAGCGGGTCACGTGGCGGCAGCCCTAGGAGGAGTGAGTCACGTGATCAACGAGGCCTCATGTGACAAGGCGGTGCGAGGTAGGCGGGCTTGTGTCACGTGGCATGAGGAGAGGTGGGCGGGGATCTGAAGAACGCTAGCGTCGGCGGTGGCGGTGGCGCGCGGCCGCGGCATCCGTGGCTCTAGGTCGCACCCTTCTGCCTACCGCCACTACCCCACTGCCTCACGCCTTTCCTTTACTCATTTCCCGCACTGAGCGGGTCCTGGCCGCGCTCTCGCTCTTTGCGGTGTGCGCAGGCGCGGCGGGGGCGATTAGCTCCGTTGGGTGGGCGGTGGATCCCGGGAGCGCGCGGGCGAGACCATGGCGGGTTGCAGCACAGGGGGCGTTGGTGCCGGGGAGACGAAGGTGATTTACCACCTGGATGAAGAAGAGACTCCCTACCTGGTGAAGATCCCTGTCCCTGCTGAGCGCATCACGCTCGGAGATTTCAAGAGTGTTCTGCAGCGACCCGCGGGCGCTAAGTACTTTTTCAAGTCTATGGATCAGGATTTCGGGTGAGCGCGAGGCCTAGACGGGGGAGCACCGGGTTTTTTTTTTTTTTTTACAGTGGATTGGGCGATATTGAGATGCAGACATCTACACTAGGCTACTTTGAGATCTTCTGCTCCATGGTAGAGCAGATTGTACTATGCTTGGATAGATTGGTTGTATCTCAGGGCGGACAAAATTATACTTGGAACAGAGAGCACACGGAGCTACATACAGGAGGACAGCCTGGGCTATACTAAACCAGATAAGAGAAGATTAAACTGCACTGGGAAAGATACGGGCATTTTTTGGGGGGAGTGGGGATAGTCTGGACTGCACTGAGGTACATTTATCTGTCTTCTGGTAGTTTGGTAAGCTGTAAGCAGTCCTGTAGCTCACAGGCTATCTAGGGTTACTCTGGAATCTGATGTAGTTTGAATTATACTGGGGCAATTTGGGATATTCTGGCATTTACTAGGACGACAGGATTGTTTTAGGACATTTTAATCTATTGTAATGCAAAGAAGGTTCCATAGGGATGTTCTAGGCTGCCCTGAAGTAGATCATCCTGGAGAAACTTTGACCATTCTGGATTTTACTGGGTTGGTTTTAGTTTCTCTTGGTACCAGACATGGTTTTATTGGGTCACTCAAGACAGGCTGTTGGGGGATAGTCAGTACAGACAGCTGTATTGGGATATCATAGTCTATGTTGGTGCAGACAGCTGCTTGTGGGAACAATGTAGGCTATATTAGAATAGGTGGGCTATCTTGGTGTGATTTGGGAACTTCTGCACTAGGCTGGAACTGCAAATAATACAAGTGAACCCATTTGTGGTAGCCTTTGGGACTGAGTCCTCAAATCCACCTCAAGAGTTTTTGAAGGTACACTGCATTAGGTTGGGATAATCTGGGTTGGCAGAAGCTGTGGGGGCAGGGTGCAATGGTGTCAGGTAGACAGAGGTGATTTGCACCTGGATGAAGGAAGAGACTTCCTGTCTGGTGAAGATTGCTATTCTAGCCTAGTGCATCACCCTTAGTTAGGAGAACTGAACAAACTGGACCCTACCTAGAAAGACTGTTCAATGTTGAGAGGCAAATATTATCTTGGGCGTTACCTTGGATTTAAATCAAGGTGATTCTGTTGGTCAGCAATGTCATCTTGGGTAATTTTGTTTAACTTCTGTGCCTTGATTTTTTCTTACATGAAATGGAGCTAGTCATAGAGTGAAATACTTATTACTTCAGGTGCATGGCACAGAGTAAATTCTTGATGAGTGGCAATTTTCATTGTTAGTATCCAGGCTGACTAGTCTATAGACTAGGTTATAGTGTTATAGAAATACAGATCTTGGAGTAGACTGAGATTCACTAAGATTGAGTTATGCTGGGAAGAATATTATGAACAAATTGATAGAGACTGGGGTGTGTTGTCATATTGGTAGCAAATGGATTAATGGAATAATATCCAGGCTCCCACATCATGTTAGGCTAAATGGTTAATCAGACAAGATGTCCTAATTGGAGGGTGAGGGTGTGTTTAAGAAAGACTCAATATTTGACATATTTATTGATTTAGTTTATAGATATTTGTTCATACCTGCTAAAGTTAGGGATGGTGCTCCAATACATGGTGTTGAACAGAATAGGTGTTGATGATTCAATGTGGTGGTTGAGAAGAATGTACAAATCCAGTTGATTTCAGGGAACTTGTGGTAGAAATGTTCCCTAAAGATAGGCTTTGAAATCCGTTAGGCTGAGCAGATTGCTTAGTGTAGAGTTTAGTGCCATGTGAGGCACAGGGGAATGGGAAGCTCTGCTTCCCCTCTCTTTAGACATTCTGTGCATAATGAGAAGGTATTATTGTCTTATCTAATGGGTGTTTTTATTCAGGCAAAGACTACATATTTGGACAGCTCTCTGGATGTGAGTTAGAGAAAACTAAAGGGAAGTGAAAGAGTAGAGACTTGAGGACCAAAGCCTTTTTGGGGCAGGTGTATAAAGGGATGGGATTGGGAAGATGCTGCCAGCATGGCTCCTAAGTTAACTGTTTTGGGTAGCTGGGTAACCACAAGGGATAGCCTTTGAAGTTGGATGGAGAAGTTGAATCAGACCCAAGGAAGTTTTTTTTTTTTCTTTTTTGGTACTGGGGATTGAACCCAGGGGTACTTAACTGAGCCACATCTTCAGCCCTTTTTATTTTGAGACAGGGTCTCACTAAGTTGCTTGGGGCCTCTGCAAGTTGCTGAGGCCGGCTTTGAATTTGTGATCCTTTTGCTTTAGCCTCCTGAGTTGCTAGGATTATAGGCATGCATCAGTATGCCTAGCCCAGGAAAGTTTTTGGAGCAGTTCTGTGCTCCTGAAGATGAGCTGGGGAGAGAAGGTGAAGTTGGGAGAGGGAATTGAGTATGGAGATTCTTAATTGTGAGTGAGTTGTATCAGCATAAGAGCAGAGGACTTGGACAGAGCAGGAGAGAGTTAGCATCTTTGGGATGGATGGAGATTGGGGGAAACTTTGGGGATGAGGGTGGGGATAAACTAGTTCAGTCTTGCTGACCTCTCAGGTCTCTTGGTAGGGTGGTGAAGGAAGAAATTTCAGATGACAATGCCCGCCTTCCCTGCTTCAATGGAAGAGTGGTATCCTGGGTAAGGATACTCATTATCAAGCTGCTCTAAGCCTCTTATCTGTTTCTATAGCTCCCTGTTTCCAGTTGTTGACAGTGCTGGCTTCCTGCTTCCTTACCTACTTGGAGAGCCAGCAGGAATCCCTCAGCCTTCTGGAGCCTCTTTGATTGGCTGCTCCTCTTTTGGGTTCTTTCCCAGGGTCTCTGAGATCCTATCCCCTTTCTGATCCTTTCTCTTAATTCCTTCTCTTATACCCCATCTCCCAATGGAGTCATGTTTTCTTATTTGCACTCTTTTAGCTAGTGTCATCAGATAACCCCCAACCCGAGGTGGCTCCTCCAGCCCATGAGCCTCGGACAGAACTGGTGCCTCCACCCCCACCATTACCCCCTTTGCCACCAGAGAGGACCAGTGGCATTGGGGATTCAAGACCTCCATCCTTCCAGTGAGTCGTCTGCATTCTAGAGTCCAGGGGAAAGAATCTAAGCCCTTTGGGAGGGGAGGCCAAAGATTTAGAGTTCTGTTCTGATGTGGGTTGGAAACTGTCTCTGCCCATCTAGCCCTAATGTGTCTGGCAGCCATGAAAATCTGGATCCTGAGACAGAAACTGAGTCGGTTGTGTCACTGAGGCGGGAGCGGCCTCGAAGGAGAGACAGCAGTGAGCATGGCGGTGAGGGGGGCCAGGTCCTGGAGGCTGGGTAGACTGGGAGCTGGGAAGAGAGATGGGTCTTAGCTTTGATGAGGGTGAGGGGCAGGAGCCCTGAACCTGAGGTTCTTGTTCTTACACAGCTGGTGGCCACAGGCCCAGTGGCCCCTCCAGGCTAGAGCGCCACCTGGCTGGGTATGAGAGCTCTTCTACCCTCATGACCAGTGAGTTGGAGAGTACCAGTCTTGGAGACTCAGATGAAGATGACACTATGAGCAGGTATGGCTCCACACCTCTTCTTAGGGCTTCTGGCCCCTCTCTTTCCTCCATCCCACCAGTCCTCATTATTTCTCTTGGTTCCATGACCACTTCTGCCTGTGAGAGTTCTACCTCTAAACTGTTGTCAGGTTCAGCAGCTCCACAGAGCAAAGCAATGCCTCCCGCCTCCTCAAACGCCATCGACGGCGGAGGAAACAGCGGCCACCTCGCATGGAAAGGGTGAGGGGATTCTCATGAGACAAGTGGGCTTCAATTTAGGCAGTCCTTTGGTACAGAAGCAGCCTGGGTTGCTGAAGGGCAGTCCAATTCCTTCCTGTCTCTCCACAGACCTCATCTTTCAGCAGTGTCACAGATTCCACCATGTCTCTCAACATCATTACAGTCACACTCAACATGGGTATGGTGGGGCCTGGCTGGGGAAGGGGAGTACCTGGTGCCCAGGGTTCTTAGGGCTTTTCTTCCTCACATGGACTCCCTTCACAGAGAAGTACAATTTCCTGGGTATCTCCATTGTGGGCCAAAGCAATGAGCGGGGTGACGGAGGCATCTACATTGGCTCCATCATGAAGGGAGGTGCTGTGGCAGCTGATGGGCGCATCGAACCAGGGGACATGCTTTTGCAGGTGTGCTGGGGTGGGCTACTGAGCTCATTCAGGCAGAGACCCTTACCTCTCCTACCCTGGCACCCTGCACTGACCCATTTCCCTTCACTTCCAGGTGAATGACATGAACTTCGAGAACATGAGCAATGATGATGCCGTGCGGGTACTGAGGGACATTGTGCACAAGCCAGGGTAAGCCTCTGAGCTAGTCTCAGTTTCTTGGGCCTCCTGTTTATGCCCTTTTATTTTGTGTTTTGGTAATTCAAGAAGTGGGATGACGTAGCCTTCAAAGGTACGAAGCAAAAATTGAACATAGCAAATAGTTCTAGAGTGACTTCTTTGTCACCACCACCTAGGTCTTGGAACAGAAGGTTGCTGATAGCTCAGAGATGCCCCCAGTCCCTTGTTGTCCCTTTCCATCTCCAACCTCCTCACTCCCATAGGGGTAAACATTACCTTCACTACTTACTTAGTCAAGAAAACTTCCATTTTCCTTGATATTTTTTTCACCTGTGCACGAATCTTGGAACAACATGGTTCCCTGTTACCTGTTTTGTGCTTGGTGCATATGGAATTATACAGTGTGTAGCCCCTTGTTTCACTCTGCAGTGTTATTAAGTTACCCATGTTGGTGAGTCGTCCATGTTATAGAGCCCCCTACCCTCATTTTCTCCATCGCAGCCATGTGTGTGCTCCTCCCTTTCTGTCTCAGAATTCATTCTTGTTCCAGGCCTCAGCCCTTCTGAGCCTCTTCCCTATCCCTCCTTACTGGCCTTTTCTTTCCCACAGCCCCATTGTGCTGACAGTGGCCAAGTGCTGGGATCCCTCCCCTCAGGCCTACTTCACACTCCCCCGAAGTGAGTAAGACTTAGACTGAGGCCCTAATCCAAGAGAATAGGGGAGCTGGGAGATGGGGCTGGGTCTCTAGGCTATGGGGAATAGGATGGGGAGGGTCGGGGAGAAGAGGAATCAGAATCCAAGTTTGGGATAGAGAGGACTGGCTTTCTGAGATTGAGACGTGATCTGTGGCTTGCTTTGTTCAGATGAGCCCATCCAGCCAATTGACCCTGCTGCCTGGGTGTCACACTCAGCTGCACTGACTGGCACTTTCCCAGCCTATCCAGGCTCCTCATCCATGAGCACCATTACGTCTGGATCCTCTCTGCCTGATGGTGACTCCACAGTCCATCCCCATGGAAGGTTGGTTGGCTGGCCATGGGTGGGAGTGGGCCCTGTCCCCTACTTCCCATTGTCTTCTTTGTCAGGCTGTGAGGGCCGGGGTCTCTCTATTCATATGGACATGGCATCTGTGACTAAGGCCATGGCAGCTCCAGAATCAGGACTGGAAGTCCGGGACCGCATGTGGCTCAAGATCACCATCCCGAATGCCTTTCTGGGTACCACTGAGCCTGGGCAGGTGGCATGGGAATGGGACGAAGCAACCAAAGCCAAGAGGGGTGAGGGCAGGGTTTGGAAGGAGAACCTGAGGCTTTTTTCCACTGATATTAGGCTCGGATGTGGTTGATTGGCTCTACCATCATGTGGAGGGCTTTCCTGAACGACGGGAGGCCCGCAAGTATGCCAGCGGGCTTCTGAAGGCTGGTCTCATCCGACATACTGTGAATAAGATCACCTTCTCTGAGCAGTGCTACTATGTCTTCGGGGACCTCAGTGGCGGCTGTGAGAGTTGTAAGTCCCCATCACAGCTCTGGGAGACAGGCGTGGCCTGCCTTTCCAACCCCAGAACAGACTAGCAATTGCAGTCAAGGTCACTGTGAACAGTGACCAGCAAGATGTGTCCTGCATTGGCTCTGAGTGAGAGCTGACATTCACCCATGTTTTGCTGAACAAGGTATGCACCAGGTGCAGAGCTGTGGCTCCTGGGGACACTTCTTGCCTAGTTTCGCAGCAGCATATGGACTAGTGGTGACCTTGGCTGGGACCCTGCCCTAGAATCAGTTGTTTTTTTACCAGAAGCGCTTGTGACATTTGACCCCCATTATGGGTGGCTCTGGAGAAATGGTTCCCAGTTCCTCTCCATTCAGTGCCTTAGGTTCTTGACCTCTTAAAACAGTGATTTCTTAACTCTCTTCCTTTGTGTTGCAGACCTAGTCAACTTGTCTCTGAATGATAATGATGGCTCTAGTGGGGCTTCAGACCAGGACACCCTGGCTCCTCTGCCTGGAGCGACCCCCTGGCCCCTACTGCCCACCTTTTCCTATCAATACCCAGCCCCGCACCCCTATAGCCCCCAGCCTCCACCCTACCATGAGCTTTCATCCTACACCTATGGTGGGGGCAGTGCCAGCAGCCAGCACAGTGAGGGTAAGTCATCCCCAGATACCAATACAACCAAGGTCTGAGTGTATAATGGAGGGGAACCAGGGAGGAGAGGCTGGAACAGGGGCTGGAGAAGCCAGAGGAAGTGGGCCGAGTCTCACTTCCCCCATCCTCTCTTTCCCCATAGGGAGCCGGAGCAGTGGCTCAACAAGAAGTGATGGGGGGGCTGGACGCACAGGGAGACCTGAGGAACGGGCCCCTGAGTCGAAGTCTGGCAGCGGCAGTGAGTCTGAGCCCTCCAGTCGGGGGGGCAGCCTTCGGCGGGGTGGGGAATCTAGTGGGACTGGTGATATGGGCCCTCCTCCATCTAGAGGCTCAACAGGAGGTACTCCCAATCTTCGAGCCCACCCAGGGCTCCATACCTATGGACCTCCTCCAGGCATGGCTCTCCCCTATAACCCAATGATGGTGGTCATGATGCCCCCACCCCCACCACCTGTTCCTCCAGCAGTGCAACCCCCAGGTGCTCCTCCAGTCAGAGATCTGGGTTCTGTGCCCCCAGAACTAACAGCCAGCCGCCAAAGCTTCCATATGGCCATGGGCAACCCCAGTGAGTTCTTTGTGGATGTGATGTAGAGGGCACTCTGGGGTCATGTTGGGTCTGTACCTTGGCCTGTCCAGCGTTGGCTTGGGTGTCCCTGTTCTGTGACTGGGTGTCTTGTCAATCACCACCTTATTGTTCCTTGCAGTGCCTGGGCTCAGCCTACCATTTCATTACCACTGTGACTTTCACCAACAGTGCCTGGTCCTCCCCCTTCCTTCAGGGGTAGACAAGGGACCTTTGGTTATTTTTAGCTTTATTGTTTTTTATAAGCCTTTTGGGGGGTTGAAATAGACTTTTTTACATTTTTGGGAATTTTTTAAATAGACATTTTCTTTTTTTGTATGAAGAATCCCTGTCTTCTGGGCCCCTTCTTCTAACCCCAGAATGTGACCTCTTCTTCCAGTTGTCCAGTCAGCTCTGCCCTTTGCAGGGCCGGGGGGGTGATCAGTGGTACACTGAGAGGAGGAAGGGGGTTGGACATTCTAGACAGCAGTCCAAGGAAGCTGGGGTATTTGGTATTTGGGGGTTGTGTAGCTGCCTTTGTTATTCTATTTATTTTAGTCACTTGTATAAAACACCAAATAAAGCAATAGAGGCAAACTCCCCACGCCTCTGGCTCCTTTCTTTGGGAGGGAGGCAGGCAGAAGAGGGAAAGAACTGAGATACAGTAGCAAAGCCTGAATTGTTAGAAATTTTATTATTTGTAGCAGTTAAGTGCTTTTGAGATCAGGCACAGTCCTGGAAAAACAAGGTCTTATTCATGGCAGACCAAGGCCCCCAGGAAGGGGGCTTGCTCTTTGGCTTGAGAGAAGGCACATAACCAGGCCAGGTCCTGGTTGGGAGTATTCAGAATCCAAGGGGATTGCTGGTGACTACACCACCCCGCTCCACCAAGGCCTTGGAGATGCTTTTGAAGTTACGGAAGAGCTCTTGCTGCCGAGGGTCAGACAGCAGAGCAGTCATGTTCTCTTGGATCCGGGCTGCAGCCTGTGGAGAGGGAAGGAGGGGGTCAGGCCTGTGCCTTGAATGCTCTGCCTACACTGGGTAGTCCAAGGCTTACCTCAATACACCAGCTGTCACAGAGCATTTTCTCATGCTGGGCTGTAGGGTAGCCCTCACTCAGGGATCTTGAGGCCCTGGTGAGGAAGCAAGAGAATATAACCCTGGGCTATGATCCTGGCCCAGCCCCACTGTGGCTCATGCCTCCCACCCCACCTCTGCCTCCTCACCTGGAGAGAACCACCACCATGGCATAGAGGTCAATGGCCCCATCTGCCAGACGCTGCAGCACAAACTGCTCATCTGTCAGGTAGATTGGGGTATGTGTGGTTAGAGTCTGAGGGAGGGAACAGCAAGGGGAGGGGCGCACAAGACAGAGCTTACTCACTGACAATCCCCTTCTTGTGCTTTATTAGCTTGGCTTCCACCACAGTGGCAAACTGCTCCAGAGCCTGCACTGCCTGAAGAGATAGAGAATGGTCACAGGGTTTGGAAGGGCCATCCCCGTCAGCTCTTGCTTTGGGCTCTGCTCTACTCCTGACCACTCACCAGCTCACCGCTCCGACTCAGCTCTGGGTGGACCACTCCACTGAGACTCAGGCCACTTCCCAGCCCTGCCCGCCTGGGAGGAAGGGGGAGAAAGACTGGTTAGTTACCACGAACCACCTTGCTCTCCCCTGGCCATGGCCCCTGAACTTACCGTCTCAGCTGTTTTCCTGCCTCTCCTAGCAGAAGGCCAGCATTCCCAAAAGGATTCTTTAGGGCACTGCTAAGCCCAGAAAGTTCCTTTCCTTTGTCCTGTTGGAGAGGAAGGTCCAGTATTCAGAACTAACTGTCCTCCCCACCTTTTCTTCCCAATTCTCTTCTCTTACCATACAGCCCTGCAGAGCCACAAAGAGCCGAAGAATGTCGTTTGTCCCCTCAAAGATCCGGAAGATGCGAATATCTCGGAGCACTCGCTCTACCCCGGGCTCCTAGCACAAAGGAAAACAGAATAAGTCCCTATTGAGATGTGCCTATCCACACTGCCTGGCTACCCCTTGCAGAGGACCATCCTGTACCTTCATGAAGCCCATGCCACCCATGATTTGGATGCATTCATCTGTCACTTTCCAGGCTGCTTCCTAGGGATAAAGAACTAGATGAGATTATCCTGGAACTGAGGTCTCAAAACTAACCCCCCCCCCCCCAGTCATGCCTGGGTCCTCACCGAGCCAAAGATTTTGCTGATGGCAGCCTCTATCTGGAAGTCTGTGGATCCCTGGTCCATGTTGGCACTCAGCATGTAAGCCATGGACTGAAGTGGAATGGTTGGCATAAGGCAAGGAAAATTGAAAAGCGTTGTGTCAGATTCAACCTCAACATCCAAATCTTGAAAACTAGGTCTGACTAGCTTCTCATGGCCCTTGCATTCACCTTCCAACTCTAGTCAGGTCAAACACATGTAAATATTTTGTCCTCCAAGTTGATGCATTAGGGGATCCAGGCCCTGGACTTCTTGAAAGGGGTGGAAGGTAAAGGGTGGGTTGGGGTTAGAATTGTGTTACCTCAGGGAAGCGCCTCATCAGAGCAGCAGCACTCTTCCCCCTTCAGAAGCTGAGCTGGCTATGCCTCCCCGCATCCCCTAGGGCATTGGTGTAAAGCTGGAGACCCACTGCCCCAGGTGCTGCTGGGGGTTGTAGTCTGACCCGACTGGGAAGAAAACCACAGGGACAGGGGCACAGGAGGCCCTTACCTCAGTCACATACTGCAGCATAGCCATTCGGGCCAGCTTCTCCTGGATCAGCCCAAAGTTGTGAATTTTGTCCCCAAACTGGGTACGATTAGCAGCATGATCCACCTGGAAGAGGGCACACCTGTTCCACTGTTGTCTGCTGTATCCAGGAGAGGGGTTAGGCTTAGGAGGGACAGATTTTTGCCACAACCAAGAGGTCAATCCACATTGGATGGAGACCTAAGCTAGCAGGTCTGGAGCTGCTGGCAGGGGAGGGATCTCTGGAGTAGGGAGTGCCTTCAAGGGAACAGGGATATGTGGAAAGTGGGACATTGTGATTGATTCAGGCTAGCTAGGAATTCAGGCAGGGTACTCACCGCCTTCGAAATGATGGCTTTCATGGTGCCTGCAAGGGTTGCAGCCATGCCAAACCTTCCATTGTTGAGGATATGCACAGCAACCTTGAAGCCTCCCCCTACCTCCCCCAGAACATTTTCCGATGGCACCTGTACTCCATCAAAGTACACCTCTGCTGTGTTTGAGGCTTTGATGCCCATCTTCTTTTCAGGGGGTCCACTGTAACAAGGCAGGAAAGGTACAGGTAATATTGCTTGCATGTCATATGGGTTACAGAGGCCTGCTATCCTGTTGGGACTTGGTTGCTGAAGCCAAAGTTTTAGGTCAGTTCCACATACATATATATGTCTCAAAGAGAATGGTGATGCCCACCCTGCTATAGCTTTTGCACACCCCCCAGATGACTTACAATATCTGTTTGCTTTGGAGCCCAGTGCTGCTCCCAGCCCTTGGTCCTACCACTTCCTCCCCAAATCCACTTACTGGGTTACACCTCCAAAGCTCCTCTCCACCACAAAAGCTGTGATCTTCTCCTTTACAGCCCCTGTGGCTGCATCTGTAACTGGTGTCTTGGCAAAAACTGTGAAAATATCTGCCAGGCCCCCATTACTGTGGGAGAATGAGGGGGTGGTGGTCAGAGTGGGGAGAGCTCAGAGCAGTGGGGAGTAGAACTGGGCTGAGAAGAAGTAGGTAGGAATAGGAGATTGCCTGATCCAAATCTTGCTTCCATTTAGGGTATAATATTTTCCACAGGGGCTGGGGACAGCAGAGCTTCGGATGGAAGCTGCATCTGATCCACTTGAGGGCTCCGTTAGACAGAAAGCAGCCAAAGTCTCCCCTGTTGGGTAGAGCGCCCTTTTACCAGAGGTCCTCATGGACATCGAATTCCCCTTGGTCCTCTTTCCCATCCCCTCAGGCAGCTCAATACTCTAGCTATATTCAGTTTCTCTGCATTTTCCCATCAACATACTGTGATGCCTCCCCAGGATCTCCTGAGTGATGTACCTAACTTTGTAGTAATCTAAATACCAACTGGCCTAGTTTGTGCCAAGCCCAGGACACTCTTAATCCAAATCCAAATCTTAAGATTGTCTTACCAGATGCCACTTTAGGGAGGTATTTTTCTTTCTGAGCCTTTGTGCCAAAGAGTAGGATGCCTTTGAAACCGATGCTCTGATGAGCCCCCAGGGTAACACCCACACCAAGGTCATGCATGCCCACGATCTCTGCCAAACGAGCGTACTGAAGAGGAAGCAGGCATCTGGGGCTGTAACTGGCTGCATGGGAACCTGCCCTTAAGAGAGTATGGGCAACAGGGCAGGGCCTAGGCCATTTTCCAGAGTGAAGAAGGGAACTTGGATCATGAAGAGGGTACAATAGGATGCTTTTTGTCCTAGGTCTTGATGGGAGGGAGGCTTCCTACAATCCTATCAGAAGATGCTACCTTGTCAGGCAGTCCCCAAGGATGAAGGGTGAAGTCCATGGTCCTAGGGGACTGCATGTAGATTGTATTGTTTGGAGGACTGGGTTGCATACATGACTGTAAGAGTTACATTCCCACAGGCCCCCAGGGCAGTTGTTTGGAAGGGACTTTAGCTTTAGGGGTGAGGAGGCCAGGCTGGAGTAGGGTGGGATATTGAGAAATAATGAGAAGGCTTCCCTCACCTGGGTGTTGCAGAGGCCCACACCACCCAGCTCACTGGGCACTTGCAGACCAAAGGCCCCCAACTCCTTGAGACCCTGCAAAGTAGTTTCCTCCACCCTCTCTAGAGTATCATTCTTCGCAGGATCATTCACCTCCTGCGAAAGGCACAGGATTCTAAGTCCAGGCTTGCTTCCTTTAAGCTTTTTAGCATTTCTGCCCACCCCATCAGAGACAGTGCCCCAGTCATTCTTCACCTCGAAGAAACGGGCCACAGGCCCTACCAGCTCTTTGAGAAACTGTGTCTGCTCTTCATTGAGTACTGCAGAGATGGGGAGGGGAAAGACAGGTCAGTCAGGCGAGTTGGGTCAGGTGAGTTTGGTGTGAGACTGCCCTGTCCCACCCGGTGTTGACTACTCCTTCCCTTACCGGATGGGTATGGGAACACCTGATCAGTGGTGAGCTGGCCTTTGAACATCCCCACAGCAAAGGACTTAGATTCCTGGGCAGGGAGAAGAGGATTTCAGGGAACTGATTGGAATAGGCCTATCCCTGGCTTAGGTCGCACGCCCCCTTAGGCCACATACCGCCTTGGTCTGTTTTTCCCTAGTGGAAGCATCAGAGGATAGGGAATCTGACTTGTCCAGAACAGCCTGGGAAAAGGAGTGGTTAGCTAGGCCGGGGAAGGGGTTTCTATTGTGTCAAAGAGGGGACTGGGGAAGAGCTGGTTGTGGGGGTTGGGTGGACCTGGTGCCTTTCCCCTAGTTTCACCCCAGAACACCCTGGCTTGCCCTTTCCCCTACTTTCGGAGTTATAGCTGTCAGCAGGTGACTGGGACGAAGAGGGTGACCCCTGCTGGTGGCAGGGGGGTGAGAGCCTAGTCGCAACCCTACTCCCACACCCCTTCCCAAGGGCTGCTGTCACTTACCTGGGCGGCTCCACTGGCATAGGGTCGCTGAGCAGTGCTAGGCCGGGGCGTTCCCTGGAGTACACTGGGCCGCAAGCTGTAGGGAGAGGGGGTTCAGTTCTGGTCTGGTCCCATGGCAACCGTCCCCAGTCCCCGTCCCTCCTGTCATACACAGACCTTCGACTCCCCAACCTCAGCAGCTGCCGCCCTATGCTCGGAGTCATCCGAGACGTCTGCATGTCCAATCCGCTCCGGCCGCCACTGTTTGGAGCGGTGACCTCGGTCTCTTGTCCCGCCTGCCCAAGTCTGGGTGCCCGGTCCCTGACTCATCCTCCACAATGCACCGCGCGGTGGAAGGCGGGGCTTCCGGGCGCCATGTCTTCTTGGGAGTTGTAGTTTCAGGGCGATCCCAGGCGCCTGAATTCTGGCTGACCTGGAGTGATCTCCAAGTGTCCCTTGACTTCCCCTAGTATCTTCATCTCGCCTATCCGAACTATAATATAGTCTTCTGAAGAGGTGATGGAATAGAACGCTTAGGCAACTGTAGCCAGAGGAATGGAGGTAGACTGGAGGGAGCACTTCCCAGGTGGAGTTAGAAAGCAGGGACTGGGGTTGTGGCTCAGTGGTACAGCACTTGCTTAGCATGTGTGAGGCTCTGGGTTTGATTCTCAGCACCACATATAAATAAATAAAATAAAGCTTCATTGACAACAAAAAAAAAAAAAAAAAGAAAAAGAGGTGAGAAAAGTGAAAGGTGTGAGGTAGATAGAGTCAGAGACATAGAAAGATGACTCTTTGGGGTCCTTGTGAAATCTGAATGGAGGATAATGGTGGAGAGGGAGGAACTCAAGCTGGGAATGTGTTCCATGCAAATTTTCCTGAGACCTAGGAGGTGTCACTGATTCTCAAAACTCCTGATTTCATTGCCTCTCCCCTTCCTGCCTCTGAGAAAGAGTTTCCTTGACATTTCTCTGCCATGTGCCCATGTGCCCACGCTAGACCTCTGGACAAATGGATTCTTCCCAGGCCTAAGAGAAATTCTCTTGCTCTCATGTCCCCTCCTCAAACTTCTCTGGCTCAAGAAGTCCCAAGAAATATATACCCCTCTTTCTTCGATTCCCACTGGAAAGGAGAGAGGCCTAGGAAGGAGAGAGCTGGGTTCAGCTTCCTTTCTTTTTGAGGTGTTGGAGCCTTTGTGGGAAAGACCCTCTTTTTGACCCCTTAGGAAAGTGTAACTTATTGTGCCTGGTTTTGGGGGGCGGAGGGAGGGGAGCAAGGTGATTCCTGGAGACTTAAGGAGGAATGGGACAGTCCATTTAGAGACTGCCTACTTTGCTTAACAGCTAGAATTGGGTGGGGACAAGGCAGCTCAACCCCAATCCAGGCGGATTAGGGAGATTAAAGTGAGAGAAGAGAGAGATGTCTCAGAGACCAAGAGGTGAAAAATAGGGATCCCTGTGGAGGGGAGGCCTGGGAGCATAGTGGGAGGGCTGGGACTCAGGGATCTTTATCCCTGAATCTTTTCATAGAAAAGTCTGGGGAAACTAAGGTGACAGTGTTACTCTCTTTCTGATCTCAATCCTCCATCACTTGCTTTTTACCAGCTCCCAGGTCAGCCCTCTGGCTCCTAGCCCCTCCACTACTGCGTTGGGCACCCCCCCTCCTCACAGTGCTGCATAGTGACCTATTCCAGGCCTTGCTGGGTGAGTAGCCTCAATTTTCTCAGGGAACACAGTGGAAAGGGCTAGCCTGGGCCTGTGAGGCCAAGTACTGAATTTGGGGGCTGGTTGGAGCCTAGACAGCATTTGGTCCAAGCTGGAGCCCCACGCAGGGTCATCCCCAAGTAGTTCTCCATCAGGATCAACTGGCCTTGGCTGAAGGACCTCCTCCCTTGCAAGACAAACAGCAGTGATGGTGGCAGGGGTGTCTGGGGAAGCCTGGGGTGGGGGAGGATAACTCAGTTCTGCTCCTGTGACAGACATCCTGGACTATTATGAAGCTTCCATCTCAGAGAGTCAGGTAAGGAGGTGGGGGTGGGTGCCTGCCTTCCTGAGGGAGCACGCAGGGCTGGAGTGGGGAGCAAAGTCTTGCCAATATTAAACTGAGACTTGGGGGCCCTGTTGACAGCATCCTGAGTCAGTGGCCCAGAGGTTGGGGGCACTGAGAATGCACTTTCTGCAGTTGGTCCTGTAGCTCTTCTTCTTTTCTCTTCTCCCTTTTCTTTGCCTGCCCCAATTTCAGGCACTAGAGCCCAGGACATAATTACTTTTCAGGCTTCCTCCTGTGAATCTGAGGAAGCACTAGGCCCCCAGGAATTCCCTCCTGCCAGCCCCTCCCTCACACCCTACCCCCTGCCACAGCTTCCCTCCAGTATTTAAACAACCGCCATGCTCCCAGCCTAACGGTGGGAGCTTCCTCCTCTGACAAATGAAATCTATCCTCATGGTCTTTGCTTTCATCATTGGAAACTGGCCAGGTCTCCATGTTTGCCTTAGGGCCTCTTTGCTTCTGCTTCTATCTCCTTTCCCATTATCCGGGTTCCTGCCAGCACCGAAGGAGTTAACTCTGCCAAGGCACCCCCCCATTCTGGTTCCAAGCTCCCTCCCCCCCTCCCCCCGCCTCCCCCCTCCTCCTCTCTCCCCTTCCCTCCTCGGCTCCACGGCTCCCTCGGCCGCTGCCGTCTCCAACCCCCCCTCCCCACTCCCCCGCCACGGCCCCTAGCCCCTGGCCGTTTGGCAAACCCCCCCCCTGCCGCGGGGCTCCCCGAAATCCAGTTCCCCTCCCCCATCCCAGCTCATGCCCCAGCCCCCGAACCTCGGGGCTACCAGCCCCCGGTGCCCCCGCCCCTCCTGAGAATCGGGGTGTGCTCCCCAAGCCCCCTCCCCTCCACTGGGGAGCCCCTTTTAGGGCCCCCTTCCTCTCCCTCCCACGCTCCCCTACCCTTCCCTTCTCCAACCCCCTCCTTCCCCTCTCACCCCTCCCCCCATCCTGGCCCCCCCTGCAAAAGTGGGGTGCGGAGGGGGGAGGGGTGAGAACCCACCAAGGGGAGGAACGAAACTCCAATGAAGTCAGAGCCCCTTACCCGCCGCCGCGGCCAGGCCCCCCAACATGGACTGTCTCTGTATAGTGACAACCAAGGTAAGCATGATGGGGGGGGCTACAAACTGGAGGGAGCATGTGAATATGTGGGGAGGGGTCAGGCAGGCCTTATCTGGCACTGAGGCCCTGGAGTGAGAGCATCAGAAGTAAGATGTATTGGGGGTCATAATTTAGTTTGGGGGTTCACATACGAGAAAACCCTGGATTTGGCCACAGGTGCCCCCTGGAGTGATCCATTTGTACCTGTAGAGAAATGAAAATTTGGGGGTATTCCATGGTTTCAGGGTCCCAAGGGTTTGGGGGTTCACTAGCGATGTTTGAGGGCAACTTATTTAAGGAGAAGCCTGGCTCACATGGGAGTCCTCTTGTATGTGGCAAGGTGGGCTATGTGTGTGGGGGTCTTCTTTTCCCTCCTGGGGGAAAAGCTGGCTTCCAGGTGGCTTGTCCAGTTTGAGGGGCTCTTGGCAGGAGGCTAAAGGTTATTGGTTGTGAGTGCCTGACTGGACTGGGGGTGTCAGCTGGCAGGGAAGGGGTGGGCCTTCAGGCTATAGAACAAGCGTCTCATGGTATATACGTTTGGGGGTGCTCTCTTGATTTGAGGGAACTGTTAAGTTGGGGTTCAGTCATATGGAACGGAGATAACTGGGAGTTGTCCGAAGGCTGAGGCCTGACATAGAATCACCTGAGGGAATGGGCCAGGTGAGGTTAGGACTTGGGGTTCTCCCTTGGGAGCTAGAAGGTTGCAGCAGCTGAGATTGCCAGCTTCTGTGAAGGAGGAGGAGAGGTTTGGGGAGGGGATTTGGAAAGGGGGACCTGATGGGTGGTACAAAATTTGAGGGTTTCCCAAGCAGGTGCCCAAATATCCCCATCTCCTCCCACACTGCTTTTAGCCCTGCTCAAGAAAGAGGGAGAAGAGCAGATGGAGGGGACTGTTACCCCTGATGCTTGGGATCAAGGTGGGGGAGAACACCTGGATGTAAGGGTCCCTGAGGACTTATGACTGAGGTTAGTGGTGTGAAGAGGCTAGTAGGATGAAGGCGTAGGAAGAGGGCAAGGCTGGCAGCAGTGGGGTTCCCTACAAGGGTGTCCCCGTGGTTAGAGCCTGGAAAGGGTGATTTTGGATGGGTATTGCAAGCAAGCTCCTGGTGGGATGCAGAATACCTAGGTCTTTTCTTCCAGACTCTGGGACTGGAAAGCTGGATGCCTGGTGTATGGAGGGATGCTTGGGCGGGTGGCAGGCAGCTGGGGGTTGGGGGGTGGGACAGGAAGTGGGGGCCGGGAGAGGCGGGGTCTGGGTGAGTCACAGGCTGGGGAGGGGGTTATATTTAGTGAGAACTGCAGCTTCTCATGGGAGGGAGCTGAGGACACACATGTTCCTTGCCACAAACTCACACATGTGTGTACACATGCATTGTGCACGTGTGAGCATGACTGGAAGAGACTGAGGGCTAAGGACCTTTAGGCCCAGATCTCTACTCTTCACCAGGACTACTTGTCTCCCAATCTGTGGGCTTTGGGCTTTCTTCCTGGTTGATTTTTGTGCCTCAGTTTCCCTGTTCTGGTTTCTTTCAATGTCTGTGACTGGATGCTCCTCCTGTCTCCTGCCCTTCAGCCTGCTCCCTGGCCTTGGCTCCCTAGCTATGGTCCCTTGTGTACAGGTATATACAGCAGGCTGGTTGGAATGTGTGGGTTTTGCTTCCAACACACAAACACATTAATGTGAGCAAGGATGAGGGGCTTGTCTGCCCTGGAGCCTGTTCTGGGTGGGTGGATGGGGGTTATTCATTCTCCCCTCCAGACTTCTACCTCTTTGATGGAGTGCAGGATTGAGCATCCTTGAAGGAAGGAGGTTTGCAGAAAGCATTTGGGGGTTTTTCTGAGGCATAGAGACATAGGCTTGCCACATTCCTTGGCCGCAAAACTTGAGTCTCGGGATGGCGAAGACTTCAACTCCCATAAGACCCTGAGGCACAAGATCACTCAGTGTTAGAGTGTTGCTGCCCTTAGGACTGTTGGGAGTTGTGGTTTATCTCTATCCAGGGCAACGGAGGGTAACCCAGGAGCAACCAGCAGGGGGCACATGGCTCCGGCCCCCCGAAAATGCTAGATAGGGAATGATCAGACTTTGTGGTCGTTGAGCTCCCCACTTCGGTCTTGACGGCTTTTCCATCTTTCATCACCTATATTTATAGACTCCTTCCGCATTAATTTAAGGAGCATTACTGAACGCCACTTTGTGCTAGGCTCTGTGCTTTGTGCAAACTGTTTTACAGCTATCACAGTCTTACTCGTTACCTTTATCTCTGCCAGTATCTCTGTCTCTGAGCATCTCTTTCTCCCACTCCGCCCCCGTCCCTCCCCCTTCTTCCCGCGCTGCTGCCGCCGTTGCCATGGTAACCGTCGACGACTGAAGTTGCGTGGCAGACTTGAGGGCCGGGCGAGGGTGGTGGAGGGCGGAGCAGAATAAGTGGGGGGTGGGAATAAAGTGGGGAAAAGATGAGGGGTTTTTGGCCAGGACCCCGGAGGCGAAGTGGTTAAACCCTCTGGGTGGTCCTTATTGGGCAAAGTTAAGATGTCGGGGGCGGGGCAGTGTGACCAACCGCCTCATTCATTGGCCGACATGGGCGTGGCGGAAGGACAGTGTGGGCGAGGCCGGGGGAGCGAATGGGCGGGAAGTGGACGGAGGCGTGGTCTTTAGGAGGCAGGTGGGTGGGGTCTGGCTTACTCTCAGAGGAGGCGGGCAACAACCCTTGGAAAGGGGAGGGGCTGGATTACCTGACCGAAATGAGGGCGGGGCTGACCCAGGAGAGGCGTGGCGTGGTCCCCTGCGCCGAAAGGAGACCAGATTTAAGGGGCAGTTGTCCGCGAACTGCAGGACTTTGGGGTCTTTGGAAAAGAGAATCCGAGGGTTGGGAGGTCTGACGTCTCAATTTTCCCAAGATGGAGACCTATTCAGATTTCATCAGAGCACCCCTCCTACCTCAGCTCTCTGTTCCAGGGAGACGGTTGCTAGGCGACACCAAAGTCCTTGATTGCTGTGTTGCCAGGCAACGGGGAAACGGAAAATGGAGGGAAAAAGGAAATGGGGGATGGGAGAGGGTCTTAATGGGGTATAGCGCCCACTAGTGGAGAAGAAGGGCCTGTACATTTTCTGTTCTAGAAAAAAATTTTAGAGTCAAGCATTTTGTTCTATCCAGATATGAAACTAGGACATTGGGGGTCATTTTGGGGGCGCATCTATCAGATGCCAATGGGTGAGGTTCTAGGGAAATCGTCATTTCTGCCATGGGTGGGCATTTTATAGAAGGCAGATAACCCATTTGAGGAGACCCCTTACTGGGATTTCAGAACTGGAAAGGTGGGTGTTCAATGGGAGAATATTTTGAAGATAGCCTTTCAATTTCAGTTGTTTGGGAGAAAATGGAAGCCTCTGAAGAAACCTGAGTCAATTCGTTTGAGATGTTCTGGAAGATTTGTGGGTCACAGCAAATTACAGTCCAGATCTTACTTTGGTGAATATTATTTGAGTCTTGAGCGTAGGGAATATATATTTGTGAGTGATTTTTCCAACAAAACTGGAATTCAGAATCATAGAGGGAATGTTGATGTAGGGAGTCAGTCAGAGTAAATTATGAATTTGAGGGGTAAAGAAAAGAATAGAGAAATACCTCCTAACATAGGGTTTGGAAATAAATTGAGAAGATTGTAGTTGAATTGGGAGGGCCTGCCTTAAGGTGGATTAAATATCTCATGAAATTGGGTTCTTGTGGGGGATTGGTATATTTGAAAGTCCTGAGTATCATTAGATTCCGCAATTTGGACAGGGTATCCCCCCAAATTGGTAGGCTCCTCATTTGGATATTTATATTAGAACAAAGGTAAGAATTGCACTAATTTCAAGTTCTCTATTAATGAATCGAGGGACAAATATGATTTAGAAAGGGATGATATAGGGGTATATAAAGTTGAAGGCACAGCGAGGATCCGTGTGGTCTTTTAAACTCTTGAAGAAGCATTGTCTGGTTATCAAGTAGGGCTGGACTTCAGGGGAGACCTATGCCTATTAGAATAGGAGATGTCTTGGAAGGGGATGCTGTTCATAGTAACAGTCTAAGGTGGGGGCTGTTGGGAGAGGCATTTTTGATCCCTTAGGAATTCTTTTAAGTGAAGGAGAACTGTTCAGTGAATGGTTAGGGGCCTGGTGATTTGGGCATGGGGCATTAGATGAGATAAGGGGTCCCTGAGAACCAGACAGATAAATTGGGGAGTCTATTTGTAGAAGTCAGGATAGGAATATACTATATAAGGTGAGGTCCACAGACAAATAGCTGGGACCAGGGAAGTTGGTGGCTAAGAGGGTCTCCCCTCACCCTTCTCTCCCATCGTGACGCTTTCCCGTACTGCGCAGGCGCCGTCCCCCCCCCCCCCGCAGCCTCCAGTCGCCGCGGCCGCCGCAGCCCCCGCCCCTCTGCCCCTCCCCCTTTCCCAACCCGGGACCCTTGATATCCCACCCGCCCCCTTCCCTCAGTTCCCCTCCCCTCCTCCATGTCGGCTCGGAAAAGATTCGCCTCCATGTGTCTCTGCGTGGTACGTGCCGCGGTACGGGATCCGGCCCCGCTCCCCTCTTCCCGGACCCCCCAAATCTCAGGGTGTGAGCTTCAAGTGCTGTTGCTTTTGCCTCTGCTTGGCTCGGGGTCTCTGCGTTGCAACTTCCTGGGGACAAGCACAGTGGGTCGCCCCTCTTATCATCCACTAACTCACATCCTTGTTTTGGGGTACAAGCCTTGGTTCCAGGTCATTCGTGAAACTGGGGCTTTGGCGGGGGGTGGGCAAGAGGGAAGGAACAACAGCGAGCCCGTCTATGTCCCTCCAGGCTTTTCACTTGTGTCAAACCCTAATATGTTGGGAGTGCAGACTTATTCCATCCAATATTATCTGAGCTGTCACTGCTCAAGGCCCTAAGTCCCAGTGGGCTAAAGGGGGGGGGGTGTCCTCCTTCCTGTCCTGCTTTAGTTGCCCCAATCCAGGACTGAGAAGTGCTGACAACCCCATCCTCCAATTTTCAGTTTCAGAATTTCTGGTCCCCACCCCCATCCCTCCAGACCTTTCCCCCTTTATTTTCCCCCTCACAACATATACATTGAAAATTTCCAGGGGCTGTAATAGGGCCTAACCTCCTCCAACCACATTTTGGGACCTTCAGTTCTTCATTCTATGTTCCTCATTTTCCTCCTGTTACCTATGAGTCCCCAGAAGCCTTTTCCTCAGTGTTAGACATTCCCCTCTCCCATGGGGATGGGGCAGGGAGAGATGTCTGGGGTCTCACTGTGATAAAAGTTTACCTTCATTTCCTCTCTAGAATAAACCATGAAATGTCTCTTTTCATGCTTCCATTTTCTTCGGTGCACTGACATTTCTTCATCAGATTCAGGAATTTTCTTTGTGAAGGGGGTGAAGATGGAGGGACATTGGACTTAAACCCTCCCAGACTCCAAAACTTGGAACTACAAATTTTAGTCTAATTTATTTTGCAGGAAATTGGGGGCCTTACAAAGTGAGAAGAGAGACTTGTTTCCCTCCCTTTCTCCCAGACCCTACAATTCCAGGGCATTGTCCCTCGGCTTGCGCATTGTCCAGGATGAAGACCACCTTCTCAGGATATGGAATGAACAACCTCTTTCAGTTCATAGTGCTGTTACCCAAGACAGCTCAGCCCTTGAGGAGGGCTGTTTTGCATACTACTCCCACTTTCCTTCTCTACTTTTTGTGCCCATGGTATTAACCCCTGAAGTTTTGGATTCTCTCTTCACATCCATGGCCCAGACTTGGTGATTCCCTATTTCCCTTCTTTAAAACTCTTTAAACATATCCAGGTGCTTCTTAATTCTAGTTGCTTCTGTGTCCTGAGTTGAGAATCTTTATGTTGACAGGACCATTTCCCTCCTCTAGTTCTCTTACTTCATTCACCCTTAGTCTACAACAGTGTTGAATTACATCCTCAGCCTTGGTTCATCATCCTAACTTCCAGAATCATACTCATCATATACCAGGCATAGTACTTGATAAGCTTCTTCCTATTTGATCTTGCAATTATTTCCCTTCAAATGTTGGGGTACTCTCAGCTTTTCAGAAAAAATTGAGAGGGAAATTCTGCCCCCTTTTCTCATGAATACTAGTAGCTGTATGCTGTCTTTTTTAGTCCCTGAGAGATCCCTGCATCTGGTACCCTCTGCCTGCTTCCCTGAACCTGGAGTCTGGACCCTTCTACTGTGGGGGTCAACTCCTGAGGAGAGTAGCACAGGTGGACAGAGGCAGCTGTAAAAGGAGCCAGGCAGAATTGTCCTTCAGTACTGCCTTCATCTGCCCTTTTCCTCTCGCTCTGCCCCCAGTTAATCTCATTTACTGGTGTTCCTATGAAGCTAGTACTGGAGGCCCTTGAGGTAGCAGCTGGTTAATTGGGTAGGGAGTCAGGAGACATGTTGGATCTTTTACCCCAAAAGGCCAGAGGAAGACCTGAATTCACTTGTAAGGTTCAGCATGCTACCCTCTTCCCCAGTTAGGGACCTGGCACTCATTTCTGTCCCCTTCTGAGCCCTACTGCCTTTGTTCCTCCCCTTCCTCCCCCATCACGTCCCTTTCTAGTACATCCGGATTAGCTGGCTGGGCTGTGGACTACTGTAAGGTTGCAGCTAGCTCTGGGGTCCCTTTGCTGACTACTTGGGAACTAGTGAGGCCCTTCAAGAGTGAGACAGACTTGGCTTTGTCCTTCCTGGGGTCTGATGCCAAATACCTTCTAGTTGGAGAGGCTGACTTTGGTCCCTGCTTCATGCATGCAAAGTGCTGGAAAACCCATTGCTCATGGGGTAGAGGTTGCAATGGGGAGACGGAGATGATGAAGGTGAGGTGCAAAGCAGGAACATCAAGTGGAGCATGGGAGGGGGAGTCTAAAACATGGGAGTGGGATTTAGATGATTAGGGAAGCAAAGAAGTTGGGGGAGAATAGAAGTATCAGGGTTCAGGGGCAAGAGTTCTTGAAGGATGGAGGGAAGAAGGCCTGGAAAAGGGGTGAAGACACTGATGCCCAAGGAAGGGTATGCTGGGTAGAAGGCCAAGGCCCCGGGATGTGAGGAGCAGGAGTTGGGGGATGGAGCTGGAATTTGGGGAGAGAGGAGAGGTGCTGAGGCCCTGGCGGGAGAGGGGGCCGTCGGGAGGGTGGAGAGAGGGGAGCCAATGGGCTGGAGGAGAGGGAGAGGGAGGGGGAGGAGCTGGTCAGGCCCCAGGGCCTTCCGCGCTGCACTGGCTGGGGGAAGAGGAGGCGGCTGGGGCCGGCGGCCTGGAGCCTGAGGCACTGGGCCGGCCCAGTGACGCCTCGGTCCCCATCCCCAGAAATACCGCTACCAAGATGAAGACACGCCCCCTCTGGAGCACAGCCCGGCCCACCTCCCCAACCAGGTAAACGCCCCCGAGCTGGTGCACGTGGCGGAGAGGAACTTGTCCCACCTCGAGGCCGTCCACGGGGTCGTGGGCCACGCCCACCTCTCCCCCCTCAAGGTAGGAGACCCTGGCGGCCCCCTCCCCCGTGCGGCCCTCGGAGCCTCGGAGCTGCAGCAACCCCCACGGGCCGGTAGGGCAAGAGCTGTGGAGAAAGGTTGGGTCTGGGGTGGGGCATTTGGGGCTTGGGCTCCTGCGGCCTGGGGGAGGGGGCGTTTGGGGGGGGGCTGGAAACACGTTGGTCCCACGAGGAGAAACAGGTCAGGCAAGTGGGAGTGGGTCCGGAGCCTGAGGTGCTTGTGTGTTTGTGTGTCCTCTCTGAGTGTGTCTGAGCGCTACGTGCTGTGTGCGCATGTTGAGACATCTGCATCCCCCTGGAGGCCCCCTGCACCAGGGCCCTCTTCATTCCTTCACACCCCCAACCTCCGGTTGCTTCCTGTGTTTTCTGTGTCCAGAGCTCTGTTCCAAGCGCCTGCTGCCCTCATTTGCTCCTGTCCCTTCCCGCCTCCTCCCCCACCTCCGCCTCTGGGCCTGCTCTCCCTGTCCCTGAGTCTCCAGCCCTTTCCATCTGTCTGGCCTGAGACTTCACCACGTCGTCGTGGGGCCTTTTTGCCTCTTCCTCTACCCCAGTCTTTGCTCTCCTCCTGTTCTTCCTCCCCCTCCACCGCTTTTTCCTCCCTGCTGGCTGGCTGGCTGGTTCTTGATGCTGTCTCTCTCTTCCTCCCACGCATCTCCTTCCCCCCCTTGCTGATCCCCAGCTCAGGCCTCTGCGGCCTGATCAGTCTTCTCCTTGGTCAGCCAGCTCCCTATTTCTCAGTTTCACCTTCCCTGTTCCTCTCTTCTTGGGCTCACCTCCACCCATATCTTCTTTCTTTCCCCCACTTTCCCCCTTATTATTCATCACCACCTGTTTCCCCTTTCCCCCGCTTCTCTGCTCAGTGTGCTTTCCCTTCTCCAGTCCTGGGAGGCCTTGTTTCTGAAACCTTCTATTTTCCAGTCCACTTTCCATCTTCTTCCCCCTCAGTCTCCTTTTCTGGGACACAGGATGTGGAGGAATGGAGAGCACAGGCAAGCTGTGAGATTGAGGACAACGAGGGTCAGTGGTGTGGAAGCCCCAGGAAGGGGGAGATTGCTGATGTTTTATCACGAAATGGGGAGGAAGTTTCTGAGCTAAGGGGATGAGGAAAGGAGAGTCCCCTAAGCTTGGGATTAGAAGTGGCAGGAGAGGTGTTGAATGGGGGTGGGAAGAGGACATAGGGATGAAACTGTGGAATCGGGGCAGTGGATTGAGTGGGTCCAGAGAAAAGAAAGTGAGGCCCTGGAAATGGGGATGATGCTCAGCATTTGTGTGCAATTCTGACTGCAAGGCCTGTGCAATGCCTTTTACAAGATGGGGCCATTAAGTAGTTATTGAGGAGGAAATCAGAGAAGGGAAGTTTGAGGGGTAGTAGGTAATAAGGTGCCAGGGAGTGTTGGGACCAGAGCTCAGGAAGCAAACGGGAGTGGAGGGAGGGTGCTGGAGGCCACAAGTGATGCTGGAGGACATCTCAGGACAAGGCCTCAGTTGTAGGACAGGAGATGTCCCAATCTTCAGATGGGTAGTGGGTTGAGAAGTGAAGGGGTGATTTGGAGATAGAATATGGAGGGTTTGAATATGGGGTAACATTTGATTCCCTCTCTGAGAATCAAATTGGGATGGAGGGTAAGGACAGGAGCTTGATAAAGTATAGGGCAGGGGTCTGAAAATGGAAGTGGATAGAGAATGGAGGCTGGGGTTGTAGGATAGAAACTGAAGGGTGGGTACAGGGATCTAGATGGATGGTGTTGGATGAATGTAATCTTGGATGAAGGATGGGGCATCAGGGAGGGTCTAGGATAGGAATGGGGATGAACATGTGGATAAGATTTCAGCAGTCTGTGGCTGTTGGCTGGACAACAGTGTTTGCTGCGGTTGGGAGGATGGCGGTAGTAGATTTATGGATGTGAAATCTATGGTAGAGCCTGAAAATGGCCGGCAGTTTCTAGAATTGAGAAATAGAAGTAAAAGAGAGGAGGGCCTCTTTGGAGGGGGAAAGTGGGAAGGAGACTAGGAGAATCCTTTAGCCTGTTTAAGCTAATCTGTTTAAGGAGGAAATAGGTTGGGGACCCCGGAAGGAGGCTCTTGGCTGCCTTCCCCCATTGCCATAGAGACGTGGCTTTGGTTGCCCTGGCAATTGGGGAAGCCCCTAGGACCGGCCTGAAGTTGGCCCCGCCCGGGAGTCCAGAGACCTGGCCGCCTGACGTCAAAGACCTGGGAACGCCTAACTTTAACCCTTTCCTTAATGAAGGCGAGGGGGAGGGAGTAGATGTGCAGGCTAGGACCCGGATGTCTTTCACCACTCCCTGTTTCTGACGTTTCTTTGCGCTGCGTAGGGTGAGGGGCGCAGGGGAGACTAGAAGGCAGGTTACTCAGAATGTGCTGTGCCCACGAACCTCTTCGACCTGGCCTCCTCTCGCCCCGGCTAGTGGGGGGCGAGGCCCAGGCCAGGAAAGGTGGGGCCAGCAGAGTCCTGCCGCGCTCAGGCCTCTGGTCGACCCTAGGCCACGCCCATCTCCCCCGCCGGCTGTCCTGACGACAGGGCCTCCTGGAGGTGGGTCTCCCCAGGTCTTGACTGGGCTTAGATACCGTTGCTAGGCAACAAGGTCCCTGGAGGAAGGCGTGGATTGGATGGCTGGTGGGTGAGAGAGAGGGAGGGGCCTGCAGCTGGGGAAATCCCGGATTCCCTGGGCGCTGGGTTTAGGGCAAGTGTATGCGAAGGTGAGGGACAAATCTGGGGGTGCATTATAAAAATGTGGGGGGATAATGACAGGGAGCGGGCAGGAAGGGGGTGATCAGGACCTGGTGGACAGGAGCCCTGGGGTGTATGTGTGTAGCACATAAGGCATGTAACACCCCGTGGTGTTACATCCGGTGAGAAGCTCCCCCCCCACCACCACTCTTTACCATCTGCTGCTCCCCTCTCCGTCTGGCTGTCTCTCCCTTCTCATTTCTCATACACTTCCTTTCACTTGCAGGGGACCTGAGCTGAGCAGAGTTGAATCCATGCACATGTGTATCTGTGTGTGTGTGTGTGTATGAAATGTGGGCTGAGCCTGGGTCCTTGAAGAGCCCCTAAGGGTGGCAGAGTGGGGCTTGGCGAAGTAGCTGAAAGGGGAGCTAGGCTGATGGGACCCATCCTTGGTTATGGGCTCCCTCTTAAGCCAAGGCTGAGTCAGCTTTTTGTTTCCTGTCTTCCCTCACAGGCCAATTCTCCCCCAGTGATTGTCAACACAGATACCCTAGAAGCCCCAGGATATGTGAGTTGTTTAGATTTTGGGGTAGGGACCATTGCAGAAGGAGGGAGGGAGGGATGGAGGACCTAAGTCCCTGCATGAGGAGGGAGGGCCAGGTTCTCAGGCTGGAATGTCCATCTCACTGTTTTTGTGTTTCTGTCCCATGTTGGAGTTGCAGGTGAACGGAACCGAGGGGGAGATGGAATACGAGGAGATCACATTGGAAAGGGTGAGCCAGCTCCTCCTTTCAAGTTCCTCTTGTTTCCCTGCCTGTGTCTCTGTGCCCATGTTTTCTAGGTGGCCTTCCCTTTAACCATGTCCCTTAGTGCTCTGGCTACAACTCTCTGACCTATTCCCTGTCCCACTTGCCTTGCCAGAATTGGTTGTTCAGTGAGGGAGGCTAACTATTGCCCTCCTTTTTCTCAGGGTAACTCAGGTCTGGGCTTCAGCATCGCAGGTGGCACTGACAACCCACACATCGGTGACGATCCATCCATTTTCATCACCAAGATTATTCCTGGAGGGGCTGCAGCCCAGGATGGTCGCCTCAGGTGGGGAGGGGAGACAGGGGTTAGGAAGCTAGTACGCTTGAAAATGAGGGCCAGGGCAGCAGGAAGCTCCTGGCTCAGGCCCACCTTGCTGCTCCCAGGGTCAACGATAGCATCCTGTTTGTAAATGAAGTGGATGTGCGGGAGGTGACCCACTCAGCAGCGGTGGAGGCTCTCAAAGAGGCAGGCTCAATCGTGCGCCTCTACGTCATGCGCCGGAAGCCCCCAGCTGAGAAGGTCATGGAGATCAAGCTCATCAAGGGGCCTAAAGGTAGTAACCAGTTTTGTCCCCACTCCTGTCCTAAATTTCCTCCCTTCCCCCAAAAAAAAGTCCTGCTTCCCAGGTACCTGAGCACCCACCTGTGCCATTCCTTTCATCCAGGTCTTGGTTTCAGCATCGCAGGGGGCGTAGGGAACCAGCACATCCCTGGGGATAATAGCATCTATGTAACCAAGATCATCGAAGGCGGTGCTGCCCACAAGGATGGGAGGTTGCAGATTGGAGACAAGATCTTGGCGGTGAGGACCTCCACTTTTCTAGCTCAGACCTGAGTCTCACCTGTAGACCCTAGACAGGCTCAGGATTCTTATTACCTCACCCCACTACATCTGCCGTGTTGCCATTTCTGGTCTGTCTGAGCTTTGCTTCCCTTGACCCCAGGTCAACAGTGTGGGGCTGGAAGACGTCATGCATGAGGATGCTGTGGCAGCCCTGAAGAACACGTATGATGTTGTCTACCTAAAGGTGGCCAAGCCCAGCAATGCCTACCTGAGTGACAGCTATGCTCCCCCAGACATCACAACCTGTGAGAGCCCTCCAAATTCAAAAGCTCCTCATGACCCATTCTAGTTATCCCCATGACATATAATTCTAGGATATTCCCTGTGACCATTCCTCTGCAGATTATCCCCATAAAATGGTCACAACCTCTGATCCTTGCTCTGGTTGGAGAAGTGATAGAAAATGAGTCACCATAGAAGCACTAGAAAAGATAAACAATCTTGCCCTCCAGAGCTTAAGGCCCGCTTGGTTTTATGCCTAATTTGGTCAAATTCTCAAGAAATAGATTCTAGCTGGGTATGGGGGTGCATGATTGTAATCCCAGCGGTTTGGGAGGATGAAACAGGAGGATTGCAAGTTTGAGGCCAGCCTCAGGAATTTAGCAAGGCCCTCAAGCAAGTGAGACCCTGTCTCAAAACACAAAAAACAAAAAGGGCTGGCTGGGATTGCAGCTCAGAGCTGAGCGCCCCTGGGTTAAATCTCCAGTAATAATAATTAAAGAAAAAAAGAAAGAAATAGATGACTTTTTAAAAAAATATATTTATTTTTTAGTTGTAGTTGTCAATACCTTTATTTTATTTATTTATTTTTATGTGGTGCTGAAGATTAAACCCAGGGCCTCACACATGCTAGTCAAGCGCTCTACCGCTGAGCCACAACCCCAGCCCCAATAGATGATTCTTATGCTCTTTCAGAGTAGGAAAAGATAAAAGGCTTCACATCTCATTTTATAAGGCCAGTTTAAATAGTCACAAAGATAAACTAAAAGAAGGAAAGTAAAGAATAATTTTACTTTTGAACAGAGATGCAGAAATTTTTAGTGTCATAGTAGGAACCCCAATATGGCTAGCATATTAAGAGAATAATATTTTTTAAAAAGATTGTTTCAGAAAACTAAAAGTGGTATATTATTAGAAAATTTCTTACTATGATTCATTATATCAAAAATTAAGTGAGAAGCTGGATTTGGTGGTGCATGCTTGTAATTCCAGCAACTTGGGAGGCTGAGGCAGGAGGATCAGAAGTTTGAGGCTAGTCTTGACAATTTAGCAAGACCCTCAGCAACTTAGTGAGACCCTATGTCAAAATAAAAATTAATAAATGAATAAACAGGACTGGGCAGATAGCTCAGTGGTAAAGTGCCCCTGGGTTTAATCCCCTGTCCAAAAAAAAAGTGAGAAAAAATTATAGAATCATCTTAAATAGATATGGAAAGTCAGTTGATGAAATTTAACATCTATTTTTGGGTGAGAACTTTCAGTAAACTAGGAGCAGAGACGTTTTCCCTTAATGTGATGAAGAGTAGTTACTAGCAACCAGCAATGAACATTTTGCAGTGTGTCCTTTTTCTCATTTAGGAATGAGATAGGATGCCTCTTACTACTGATACTGTTATTGTTTTAGACAAAGTTTCTCTCTCTCTCTCTCTTTTTGTTTTGCAGTACTGGAAACTGAACCCAGGGGTGCTGTACCACTGAGCTACATCCCTAGTACTTTTTATTTTTTTGAGAAAGTTTCTTGCTAAAGTGCCCAGGCTGACCCTGAACTAGTGATCCTCCTGCTTTAGTCCCCTGAGTTGCTGGGATTGCACTGTACCCAGCTTAGACTGGGATTTCTTTCTTTCTTTTTCTTTTTTAAACAGAGGGGAATTAAATATTAGTTGTCTTTATTTTATTTCTATCAGGCGCTGAGGATTGAACCCAGTGCCTCGCAGGTGCTAGGCAAACGCTTTGCCACTGCAAATGCTTTGCCACTGAGCTACAGTCCCAGCCCTAGACCAAGTTTCTTTCTTTCTTTCACTTTTTTTTTTTTTTGGCTGTGCTGGGAATTGAACCCAGGGCCTGTGAATGCAAGGCAAACACTCTATCAACTGAGCTATATCACCAGCCCTAGACCAGGTTTCTTAATGTTGGTGCTGTTGACATCTTTGGGTCCAATGACTCTTTGTTGTTCTTGTAATTTCCAGGATTTTTTATTTTTGGTGGTGCTAGGGGTTGAACCCAGGTCCTTGCACATGCTAGGCAAATGCTCTATTAAGCTTGTCCCCTAGCCTCTGTAGAATTTTTTTTTTTTTATTGGTTGTTCAAAACATTACAATGCTCTTAACATATCATATTTCATACATTTGATTCAAGTGGGTTATGAACTCCCATTTTTACCACGTATACAGATTGCAGATTCACATTGGTTACACATCCACGTTTATACATACTGCCATACTAGTGTCTGTTGTATTTTGCTGCCTTTCCTATCCCCTTCCTATCCCCCCTCCCCTCCCCTCCCTAGAATTTTTTTTTTTATTGGGCTCTTTTTACCTATTACATCTTCTCATTGCTATGATTTCTTATTACTTATTTTCCAGGGCCACATTTTTATTTAGATATTTATTTTTTTAGTTGTAGTTGGACACAGTATCTTTATTCTATTTATTTATTTTTATGTGGTGCTAAGGATCAAACCCAGGGACTCGTACATGCTAGGCGAGTGCTCTACTGCTGAGCAACAACCCTAGCCCCACATTCTTAACCTTCCATTTTATTTCTAAGTTTTTCAGTTAATTTGTTTTGTGTTTTAGTCTAAATGGTCCACAATATAATTAACAAATAAGATTAATTTTGTTTCTTTCTTTTCAAATCTAACATCTGTTTATTATTATTTTGGTCAAAAGCAATAATTTTCAACCAGGGTAATTTTGCTGGGGTAATTTTGTCATAACATTTTTTATTGTTATTACCAAAGGGAAGAAGGTGGGAGGAAGAATACTGTTGTCATCTGATAGAAATATAAACTTGACAAGAAGTGTGAGAGTTACATGAAAAAAAAATTTACCGAAGGGTACAAAACAATGATTCTGGATGGAAAACCTTAATAAGTAGAAGATCTCAACCCTCTCCAAATTAATCTGTACATTTCATGCAATCCTAATCAGAATTTTAATATTGGTTTTCCCCTGGGAATGTAGCAGATTGATCCTAAAGTTCAGCTGGAAAAGTATGTGTGGGAGAAGAGCTAAGACATTTTAGAAAAGAATAATGAGGTGTGGCTGCCCCTACCTAATATGAAATCATACTTAAACCCACATTAAAACCACGTGGTACTATTTCTGGATACCATAATCTATGTAAAGGAACCTGGGCTCCTTGGAAAATGACTGATTCCAAATCTTTGGCAAGAAATATATGAGACAAACTTCAACATCTTTCATATTAGAAAGGAAGGAAGATATCTAAGACTACTAGGGTCACATTAAAGACACAGAGCCATGTTGAAGAGGCTCCTGGGCATTCATTGAAAACTCATTCAATAGGTGAAAGTCCACGAGGTCATAATTATATTTAAAAATATTGAGGCTGGACATTGTGGTATAATCCTGTAATCCCAGCCACTTGGGAGACTGAGGCAGGAGGACCATGAGTTCAAAGCCAGCCTTAGCAATTTAGCGAGGTCCTGAGGAATTCCGTGAGACCCTGTCTCAAAATAAAATATAAAAAGGTTTGGGGATGTGGTTCAGTGGTTAAGTGCCTCTGGATTCAATCCCCAGTACCAAAATAAAAAATAATAATAATAATTGGGAAGCCAGTCTTGGTGATAAGTGCCCATAGTCCAGCTACCTGGGCGATGAAGCAGGAGGATTGCTTGAGCCCAGCCTAAACAACCTTCCAAGACCCTGTCTCAAAAACAAAAACAAGGGCTGGGGTTATAGCTCAGTGGTAGAGTGCTTGCCTAGCACATGTGAGACACTGGGTGTGATCTTTATCACCACATTAAAAAAAAAATAAAGGTATTGTGTTCATCTATAATGAAAAGATTAAACAAAAATAAGAAACAAATTATGATTAAATTAATTTTAGGCTGGAGGATATGGTTCAGTGGTAGAGCACTTGCCTAGCATGTACAAGGTCCGGGGTTTAATCCCTAGGACTGAAAAAAAAAATGGGTCTCTTTGGAAGAGGCTAGGAAACCCATTTACTGAAAACTGGTAAAGAGCTGAGCATCCTTCATTCCTGTACAAACTATACCTTAGATTAACTAAAAGGTTGATATGGGACAGTTCTTTATAGAAAATTTGATTAATGTTGTCCCATCTGAAAAAGAAACACACACCAGAAAAAAAAAAAAAAAAAAAACAACAGAATTGTTATCATTTGATGGTTCCAGATGAATATCCAAACTAGGCAGTGATCATCATCAGTGGCTGTGAAAGTTTGGATGAGAGGCTGATGGGTGGACAAGGCTGAATACATCTGAAAGACAACAAGACATCATTGCAGCCTTTTGTGACACAGTAGGCGTGCACAGCGCCACCTGTGAAGTCTGCTTACTCACATATTGAATTTGAATCTGATGAAGCCTCTAGAATAAAGTCCCCAGGTTACAGGAGATATAGGAGCAGAGGCATAGGTTAAATAAGACCACAGGTATTATGCAGGAATTTTCCCTGTTAGAATTTCCCTCATAAAACCTGGGATAATTTTTTAGATAAATGACCTAGTTTTTCAACAGATGAATGGCCAAAGAGGAGGGGACCAAAAAAAAAAAAAAAAAGAAATTTTTATGGATTAAGAGATTTGAGAAAAATATCAACCAAAAAGAAAGAAAACCCAAAAAGCATGGTATTAATATTGTCGTTTGACATCACCATCCCTGGCATATCAAGGACAACACATAACTTTAAAGTCCTTTATCCCCTAAGAGAACCGATCTCTGATGCTATAAATTCCTGACCTCTGACATTGCTGGATCTGATGTCCTCTTTACCACATCACCAAATATCTTTGGCAGAATAACTTCCTTTTTGTCTGAGTCTGGCTCTCTTGGCTCCTGCTGGAGAGGGTGGGCTGGTGGGTGCCGATGGGTATCCTCCTTATGTTTCATCTCATTTTTTCTATGTCTTCCCTCAGCTTATTCCCAGCACCTGGACAATGAGATCAGTCATAGCAGCTACCTGGGCACTGACTACCCCACAGCCATGACCCCCACTTCCCCTCGGCGCTACTCTCCAGTGGCCAAGGACCTGCTTGGGGAGGAAGACATTCCCCGAGAACCGAGGCGAATCGTGATCCACCGGGGCTCCACGGGCCTGGGCTTCAACATTGTGGGTGGTGAGGACGGCGAAGGCATCTTCATCTCCTTCATCTTGGCCGGGGGCCCTGCGGACCTCAGCGGGGAGCTGCGGAAGGGGGACCAGATCCTGTCGGTGAGGGAAGGCCTGCCCTTGCCAGCCTGCCCACCCTGTCCCCCCAGCAGAGCCCAGAGCTCTTGGGAAGGGGCTGGGTGGGCCGAAGCCTGGTCCCCTGCTGGACTATTCCCTGCGCCACTTAGACATGAGAAATGCCAAGCTACTCAGCCTCTGTTCCTCTCTCTAGGTTAATGGTGTTGACCTCCGAAATGCCAGCCATGAGCAGGCTGCCATTGCCCTCAAGAATGCGGGTCAGACGGTCACAATCATTGCTCAATATAAACCAGAAGGTACCAGGCTTAAGGCACCCATCTTGTGGGCTCAGAACTTGTTTCCTCAACTGATGGATTCAGCAGGGATGAGGATGGGGTAGGGCAGAGAGGTTTTGGTGATAGAATGGAGCACAGTTCAAGAACTTTCTTGTGCTTCTTCAGAGTACAGCCGATTCGAGGCCAAGATCCACGACCTTCGGGAACAGCTCATGAACAGCAGCCTGGGCTCAGGGACTGCCTCCCTTCGGAGCAACCCCAAAAGGGGTTTCTATATCAGGTCAGAGGCTTGCTGGGCTGAGCTTTCTGGGTTTCTGTGGATTCCTCTTTCTTTTGTGCCCATTCCCTATTCTTTAGCCAGCTCTTGCCCTAAACCCTGCCTGATCCACACCCCGCCTGCCTGCCCCACACCCAGGCTTATTGCTTAGCCACTGTTCACAGGCTCAGTGACACAGATTAATCTTCTGAAATACACCATCTGAATTGGAAAATAACTTCTACCCCAAGTGTTCCACTTGCCTTCTAGCCCCAGGGCACCATGACCTCTCCCCAAGGAGTCTCATACTGCCTCACAATTGGGCATTTAAAAGGTAAACACAGGGCTTTTAGGATTTCTTTATATTTATTTATTTAGATATTGGGGATTGAGTCCAATGGAGCTTTACTACTGATCTACATCCCCAGGTCTTTTTATTTTGTATTTTGAGATACGGCCTTGTCATTGCTGAGTCTGTCCTCAAACTTGTGATCATTCTGCCTCAGCCTCCCAAGTTGCTGGGATTACAGGCATCCACCAGCTTTTTACTTTTAACATGGGGGTCTTGCTATATTGCCCAGGTTGGTCTTGAACTCCTGAGCTTGAATGATCCTCCTGCCTCAGCCTCCTGAATAGCTGGGACTTTATGCATATGTCACTGTCCTCAACTTTAGGATATATACAAATATATATTTTTTGTGGTGCTGGGGATTGAACCCAGGGCCTTGTTCATGCAAGGCAAGCTTTCTACCAACTATATCCCCAGCTATATCCCCAGCCCTAGGATATTTTTAATATTGTTTCAGTCTTGGCATCCCTGTGGGAATTCTCAGAGAGATGGACCACACAGCTCTCTTGCACCTGTCTCCTGTCTCTTCAGAAGCATTTATTTATTCCCTTCTTAGGACTCCTCTCCCTATTGACTCTCTTTTGTGCTCTTCCCCAGTGTGGGCACTGTGGCTTAAGTTTCTGTTGCACTTCCCCTTTCTCTCTCTCTCTCTCTGTCTCTCTGGTCCTGTTCACTTGCCCAGCCTCATCTGCCACTCCAGTCTGCACATGTGTCTTAGAGCCGTCGGCCCTGGCCTGACCTCTCAGAGGTACAGACCTGCTTTTCTCGCCATCTGCTTGCTTTTCCTTCTTCCCTCTCCCTCTCCCTCCCTTCTTTCCTTCCTGGGCATGCCACAGGGTTGAAGCCTGGGCACTTTACTACTGAGCTACATCACCAGTTTTTTTTTTTTTTTTTGGTACTAGGGATTGAACTCAGGGGCATTTGGCCATCGAGCTGCATCCCCAGCCCTATTTTGTATTTTATTTAGAGACAGGGTCTCACTGAGCTGCTTAGTGTCTCACTGTTGCTGAGGCTGGCTTTGAACTTGCAATCCTCCTGTCTCAGCCTCCCAAGCTGCTGGGGTTACAGGCTTGTGCCACCATGCCCGGCTCACCAGTTCTTTTTATTTTTTTTGTTGAGACAGGTAAGTTGATTAGGGCTTCACTAAATTGCCGAGGCTGCCCTTGAAATTGGCATTCCTCCTGCCTCAGCTTCCTGGTTATTGGGACTGGCCATCTGCTTTCTAGCCATCTCTGCTAAGATGTCTTACCGGCATGTCACACTCAACACATCCCGCACTGAGCTCATGTTCTCTATCCTGGGTGCTTTTGTTTTCTCTTTCACCATCCACCTAGACACCTGGCTCATACCTGAGGTTCCACTTGGCTCTCCTTCCTTCCTGGGGTCCAGTAGGACCCCAGGGTTATTCAGTTCTGACTCCCAGATGATGTCAGCAATTCCAGACTCTCTCCCTATATTCCCAGTCCCATTGCTTTATTCTGCATCTTTGTTTTCTTGGAGAATCAATAGTTTTCTTGTCCTAACCCTAGTACTTTTGACTCCCTGACAGGAGTTTGATGTTGATAAGGGATAAGAGTAACTAATGTTTGCCAGTGAGGGACTTTTTTTTTTTTTTTTTTTTCCCTTATGAATTTGAGCAGATTCAAGGGAACTCTGTGGCATGCAGGCATATTGAAAACTTCTTTCTGGAGTTCTTGCTCTCATCCTGGAAATTGGACACATCATACATGTAATGGCAATTATATGTTACAGCAGAGCTTTTGGTTCTTTCCTAGTTTTGGGGTTCCTGTGGGCATGCCACTAACAACCCAAGCTTTGCCGCAAATTCCTAGCCCAGAACCTCTAGGCTGGTTCTTGGAGTGGCTGGAGTACTAGCCATGCCCTGATCCATAGCCATTTGTCCTCTAGGGCCTTGTTTGATTACGACAAGACCAAGGACTGCGGCTTCCTGAGCCAGGCCCTGAGCTTCCGCTTTGGGGATGTGCTGCATGTAATTGATGCTAGCGATGAGGAGTGGTGGCAGGCACGGCGGGTCCACTCTGACAGTGAGACGGATGACATTGGCTTCATCCCCAGCAAACGACGGTGAGGCTCCTGGGACCTGCAGACTTCCTGCTCCAGGCACTGAAATTCCCAAGGTTCTCCAGGGTGGCAGCCAAAAGGGGGTTCTCTGGAGTCTGTCTGGTGGGCCCTCCTCATGACTATTGCTTCTGTGAGCCTTTGGGGCAGACAGCTCCTCACTGAGGATCACAGGGTCCAGAGTGTGGGAGCTTTTAGGCCTCACTAGGCACTTTCCCACCCTCCATATCTCCATGTATTCCACAGGGTTGAGCGACGGGAGTGGTCAAGGTTAAAGGCCAAGGTAGGTGGAGGAGGGGTGAGTTTGGTGCAAGAGTGGGGTCCTCACAGAGCCGAACCCTTAACCAACCCATGGCTTGCTTTTTCTTCCCAGGACTGGGGCTCCAGCTCTGGATCACAGGGTAAGTAGGGCCAGTTGGGAAGCCCTGGGGTGAGAGGAACACCAAAGAAGGCAAGGGGGCCCCAGGTCCCTTGTCTTGGAGACCCTTGAAGACGCTCTGTCTTCTACCAGGTCGAGAAGACTCGGTTCTGAGCTACGAGACAGTGACGCAGATGGAAGGTGAGCCCTGGCCCCTGCCTCAGCCCCAGCCCTCCTGCTCCCCTGGTCTGTTCGATGCCTGAGCCCAGCTCCTCTCCTCAGTTCACTACGCTCGCCCCATCATCATCCTTGGACCCACCAAGGACCGCGCCAATGACGATCTTCTCTCCGAGTTCCCCGACAAGTTTGGATCCTGTGTTCCCCGTGAGTGCTGGGGCCTTGGATGGAGGTGGAGGTGAAGGTGGGGGTGGAGGAGTGGGATGCCTGAGGAGCCCCTCTTGTGAGGGCCGCAGGCAAAACTGCCTGCAGGCATTGGAGTGCAGGGGTCACAGGATTCCTCAAAGAAGGGGTCTTCTCAGCTCCCCTTATGTTATACAGGAGTCAACCCCAGGCCAGAAAATGGGAGACCCTGGCGGGTGTGGGGGGAGTGGTTCTGTCCCTCTTGAGTTTTAGTCTCCACAGTGGCCTCCTATCAAGGATGAGTTGGGCACTTTGGGGGTTTGGTTGGTGAGGCAAATTTTAAGCTAGAGGGATGGTGGTTAGATCTTTGGGGGGGTGGGGTGACTTCCTGGCAGATACTACACGGCCCAAGCGGGAGTATGAGATAGATGGCCGGGATTACCACTTTGTATCGTCCCGGGAGAAAATGGAGAAGGACATTCAGGCGCACAAGTTCATTGAGGCTGGCCAGTACAACAGCCATCTCTACGGGACCAGCGTCCAGTCCGTGCGAGAGGTGGCAGAGCAGGTAGGACCCAGTGAGCACCTGGTCCTCTTCCTTCTGCCCTCTCCCTACCCCATTGCCTCTTCCAACTCTCTCTAACTCTCTTTCTCTCTGTCTCTTTCCCTGCTGGGTCTCCACTCCGTCCTCCACCTCCTTCTCCTCTTGGGCAACTCTGTCTGGCTGCCTGCTCTTTTGTGCCCTGCTGCCCTCGCTTCCTGACCCCACGCTCCCCACTGCCATCTGTCCCTTTCCTCTGCTCCCCTCCTCCTCGCCCCACTTCTCGTCTCTTTCTGTGGCTGTATCTTGGCCTCCTCCAACTTGGTCCCTCCCTTCTTCCTGATTCCTCCTGGCCCTCTCCCCTCTCCTTCCTTTTCCTGGGGTCCCCACGCCCCTCTCCATTCCTCTGCTAACTCCTTTTACCGATGCTTGCCACCCTGCCTGCCCTCTCTCCATGGCTCCTTGCTCCATCTGCCTTCCCTCCCTCCATCTGTCTCTCCTTGTCCCTTCCATCTGTCTGTCCTCTGTCTGTCCTCCTCTCCCTCCTCCCTCTATCCTACTTCCTTTCTCCTTTTCCCTTGCTTTATTTCCCTACTGCCCTGTCCTACCTTCCGTGCCCCACCCCACCTTCTCCATTGCCCCTCTTGACCCTGCTCTGCCTCCGTCTTCTGGGTCCCCTTCCTGCCTGGTTTTCATCGCATCCTCCATCCTGTTCTTTCGCTGCCCTCCTGTGCTTGGCTCTCTGTCTTCTCTTTCCTTTTTTTTCTCTGTCTTTCACTCTGTCTGTCCATATCCCCTTCCCATCCTGACTCTATCCATGTGTCTTTTGACATTCATGTCACTTCCCCTTTGGCCATCCTCTTTTCCCCTCTTTTCCATGTTCTGTGTCCCTTCTTGGCACCTCTGTCTGTCCTTTCCCACCACCTGCTGGTCCCCCTCCGCCTACCCTGCCTGCCCCCAGGGGAAGCACTGCATCCTCGATGTCTCAGCCAATGCTGTGCGGCGGCTGCAGGCGGCCCACCTGCACCCTATCGCCATCTTCATCCGCCCCCGCTCCCTGGAGAATGTGCTGTGAGTATGGTCCTGGGGGCCTCCCCTCTGCTCCCCGCACTTGTGGTCCTGGGCCTCTCAAGGCCTCTGTGTTGAACTCTCCCCTCAGAACTCTGGACAGCAACTCCAGCAGCCCTCAGTGGGGATCTGCATGGAGAGCTGAAACCCAGAGATTGCAAGGAATCCCAGGCTTTTCCTCTTTTTTCCTACCTTGAGTTAAGCAGGCTACAATTCCCAGTAGTTCCTGGGACACATGCCTGCTGGGGCAAGCCAGGGCCTCAGGAGCAGTTGGGAGTTAGAGTCTAACTCCTTCTCTGGGGCTGAAGACTGGAAGGATAAACTCTAGAGAGGTCCTGGAAATACCCACACCTGGCTGGGGTGGGTTGTGGGTGGGGGCTCATCTGTGACACCAGAGGATATCAGGAATTATATTTTTTGCTACTTGCTTTCAATAAGAAAGTACCCGTTGCAGCCTAACATCCCTGGATGGAGGAGGTAAAGTTCTGGGTCTTTCTTTCTTCACAGAGAAATTAACAAGCGGATCACAGAGGAGCAAGCCCGCAAAGCCTTTGACAGAGCCACCAAGCTGGAGCAGGAGTTCACAGAGTGCTTCTCAGGTGAGGCTGCAGTGGTGACACACACGGCACTTTTGCTCAGATTTGACAAAGTTCACCCCACTGCAGGGATGGCTCTGGAAGAGATGCCCCGTAGGTGGGTGCAGCCTCATGGCTCATGGCTGGGGGAATTAGGAAAAGGTGCCCATTTCTCTGGGCTGTATCCTGCCTTGGTCAGGCATCCTCTGTCCCTTGGCCTCACTCCCTGTTCTACCCACTCCCAGCCATCGTGGAGGGTGACAGCTTTGAGGAGATCTACCACAAGGTGAAGCGTGTCATCGAGGACCTCTCAGGCCCCTACATCTGGGTCCCAGCCCGAGAGAGACTCTGATTCCTGCCCTGGCTTGGCCTGGACTCGCCCTGCCTCCATCATCCGGGCCCTTGGTCTGGACTGAATTGCCCACGTCCTTCGCACCCCAGCCTCCCTCTGACCCCTTCTTATTTATTTCCTTTCTAACTGGATCCAGCTCATTGGAGGGGGGACACTCCTCTGCATGTATCCCTACACCCCAGAACTGGGCTCCAGAATCCTAGGAACCTGGGGTCTGAGCGGGGAGCCGGGCTCCTGGTTCCAAGCCCTTGCTCCTCAGGATCCCTACCCTTACCTGCCCCCAATGCACACACAGACCCACTGGGGGCTGCCCGCCCTCCCCCATACATTCCAGAAGTCAGGGCCCCTCTCAAGGAGCACCCACTGTAGGGATGCAGGGCCACAGGCCTCCGCGCTCTCTGGAGGCAGGGTCTGGGGTCACCCTTGCTCCATCATAACTCCCCATGTCCCTTGATTTCTCAATTTTTTTTTTTCCATTTTTTTTCTCCTAAAAGGTGGTTTTTTGGGGAGAAGTAGTGGGACTCTTCTGCAGGTCCCCTGCCTTCCACATGCCCCCACCTTTTTTCTTTGCTGGTTTGCATGAGTGGAAGGTCTAACTGTGGCTTTTTTTTTTTTTCCTGGGATTTTTCTTCTTCTTCTTTGTTTCTTTTTTTCTTTTTCTTTTTCCTTTTTTTACGAAATGATTTTGGGGGGGGAAAGGGGAGGGATGGGTCTAGGGAGTGGGAAATATGGGAGGGAGGGTGGGGGGCAGGGGTTAGGGGTTGGGTGTCTGGGAGCCAGGGGAAGACTGGAAATGCTGCCGCCTTCTGCAATTTATTTATTTTTTCTTTTGAGAGAGTGAAAGGAAGAGACAGATACTTGAAACTCAGTGTGTGGCCTGGTTATTTGGGTCCTGGGTGTGGAGGGAGACAGGGTGGGGGCCCAGGGATGGGTGGGTCTGGTAAATTCAGATCCTTCTTCATCCCAACCCAGAGAGAATAGGGTGGCCTGAGATAGGGGCTTTGGAGGGAAGCAGCAAATCAAGTTGTTGAGGAATGGGCTTGGGGAGGGCTGGAGCTCTGTCCAAAGTCACTGATAGTCAGGAAGACTTGCCTGCAAAGTAAAGAAGCTTCTTGGTTTATGATGGGTTCATATTCCAATAGATCCATCATAAGTTGGAAATATCCTAAGTAAAAAATGCATTTAGGCTGGGCATGGTGGTGCACGCCTGTAATGCCAACGGCTTGGGAGGCTGCGGCAGGAGGATTGCAAGTTCAAAGCCAGCCACAGCAACTTAGTGAGTCCCTGTCTCTAAATAAAATATAAAATAGGGCTGGGGACATGGTTCAGTGGTTAAGTACCCCTGGGTTCAATCCCTGGTTTAAAAAACAAAATGCATTTAGTATACCTGAGTTACTGAACATCATAGCTTAGACTCGCCTACCTTAAATGTTCTCAGAACACTTGCGTAAAGCCATAGTTGGGCAGAATCATCTAACACAAAACCTACTGTATAATACAGAATAAACGTGTGCCTGATGGGCAGCTGCAGCATACTGTACAGCATATTGCTAATCCATGAACTTCAAAATTTGAAGTTCAGTTTCTACTGAATGTGTATTGCCTTTGTATCATCGTCAAGTTGAAAAACCATGGGCTGAACCATCATATGTAAGTTGAGGTCTGTATCGAGGAAACTTTTATGTTCATGAAGTTGTAGACAGCTGGGCTCTAGAGATAACATTTATAGAGGTTTGCTGATAAGGAATGCTGTATGAATATTTATTTATTTGGTTTCTTTATGCCTCATTTCTATAGAAAAAAAATTTGAAGCAGCTTTGCAAATAGTGAGGGTAGGAAAATAGAAACTGGATCCTAAAGATATAAATAGGAGAAATGGATGACTTATGAGGGTAAATATTATCTCAGCTTCCTGGTAGCCAGGACAAAATGGGAAATGGCTCATTGCCTAGTTCCTTATAATAAAAGGTAAGTCATTTTAGTTTTTATTTTAGGAAGTCAGATTTTCCTGGCCCTAAGTCCTAAACAAAGCTGCTTGGATTGCTGCTTTATAGAAAAGTAGTTCTCAACCTTTCTTTTGCCCCTGCTCATGTGCTTGGCAAGCTCTCACCTGAGGTTGACATAGGTAAGGTGTTTCTGGCACCAGTTATGATTCTGTCCCCTCTGATTCTCAGGGGCCTCAGTTGGGAAGGCTGAGGTGGAAGGCCCTAAGTGTTGTGGTGTCTAAGTCCTGAACAGTTGCAGAAGAGGTTTTTGTAGGCACCCCTGAGCAAAGCTGAGAGGGATGCAAAATCCTGACCCTGGGGAGGCCCAAGCCTAAACCAGTCCAAGGATCAAGGTGTTGCTTACACCAGTGATCCTCTGTGGATCACCCTGAAAAAATACCTGTGTAGCACCCTATTGTATAGGACCCAACCTTTTGAATTGCGGTGGGAGGGATCCAGGTGTGTGCATTTCAGGAAACCACCCAGGTGATTCTGATGTTTTGCTGTGGGGACAAGCACTGCTACTAGAGGACATTTTATGAATAATCCTCTTAGCTTGATTCTGCATAAGAGCAGATGGCATGAGTCTGTGCTGTTCTCTACCATGGGCTAAAGGGAGAAATCTGGGAGCTGAGGAAAGTGTGTGCAGGCAGTGGGTCCAGATCTAAGGAGTTTACCTAGAAGGGGTAAAAATCACATAATCCTGCATTATGATAATGATGATAAGGACTGACTCTCCGATGCTAGGTAAGTACTCTCCCACTGAACTACATACATCTCCAGCTATTTTTAATTTTTGAGACAGGGTCTCACTAAGTTGCTCAGGTTGGCCTCAAAAGTTTTGATCCTCCTGTCTCAACCTCCAAAGTATGTGGGATTTTCATGCATTAGTTTGAAGTATAAAAGCAATACATGTACCTGACAAATATTCAAATATAGAAATACATATGGTTGGAAAAGGTCCTCATTTTAATCCACCATGGTAACAGTTTTGGATATAGTATTCCAAATCTATAGAGAACTCTTCCCTGGTCCCTTGAAGGAGGCAGGGTACTTCAGTGAATAAGAGTTCTGGGCTCCCAAGCTGATTAGGCTTCAAATCCTGGCTCCTCTTTTCCCCATGCACTTTAAGTCTTTCAACAAACACTTGGATCTTCCTTGGTACCAGCCAGTATTCAAAATGCTGAGAAGGCAACATCGGTTTTCAGGGAATTTGGGGTTTACCCAGTGGGAATAACAGATAATTTGAAATTCAATCAATGTTATTAAGCAAATAAAGTAACCACTGAACATGTGTCCTTGCTAGTTTATGCAGGGTGGCCAGGAAGTCCTCTTGGAGAAAAACATTTGAGTTGACTTGAATGTTGACATAGACTGGGGTGAGGGGACTGTGCCAAGTAGGGCAACGACAAGGTAGGGGTAAGTTTAGAAGGTGGGAGGACAGAAGGGCATTGGGGTGGAGAGAATTAGATGGGTCAGGCCTGACACACAGGCCTTTACATGAATTTTATTTCAAGTGCCATAAAAAGCTGCCAGAGGGCTGTGAGAAGGGGGCTTCAGGGTTTTTATTTCTGCAAGGTGGCCCTGGGAGCTGGTGGAGAATATATAGCAGGGGACAATAGAGAGCCAGGGAGGTTGTTGAGGTTAAGACAGGGGACGATAGTGGCACCACTGTCACTTGGGGCAAGGAGCGCCTCCTCTCAGCCTGTTTCCCTAGCTGTAAAATGAAATTGGCCTGCCTTGCTGAATTCTTGTGAGAAAGGTGACAATACTTGTAAGCGCTTAGTCTAGTGCCTGGCAACGATAGGGAATGGTAACAACGGTTGTTATTGGCCTCTCGGTCTGTTTTCAGTGATTGGATGAACCTGGAAGTTAAATAAAACCTGGGATAATTTGGAGTTCTAAAATTTACTTGCCAGGTGTGGTGGTGCATGCCTGTAATCCCAGTGGCTCGGGAGGCTGAGATAGGAGGATTAAGGGTTCAAAGCCAGCCTCAGCAATAGTGAGGCACTAAGCAACTCAGTGAGACCCTGTCTCTAAATAAAATACAAAATAGGGCTGGGGATGTGGCTCAGTAATTGAGGTCCCTGAGTTCAATCCCCAGTACCCCCTCCCCTAATTTCTTAAATTATCACCCTTTAAAAGTAGGAAAGAAGTCTGGGAACAGTGACACATGCCTGTGAATCTCAGCTGAGGCAGGAGGATTGCCAGTTTGAAGCCAGCCTGGGCAATTTAGAAGACCCTGTCTCAAAAAATAAAAATGAGGGGCTGGGGATGGGGATGTGGCTCAAGTGGTAGCGCTCTCGCCTGGCATGCGTGCGGCCCGGGTTCGATCCTCAGCACCACATACAAACAAAGATGTTGTGTCCGCCAATAACTAAAAAATAAATATTAAAAAAAAATAAAAATGAGGATGTATCCCAGTAGTATATCACTCCTGAGTTCAATCCACGGTACCAAAACAAATGAAAATAGAAAAGGGACATAGAGAGGGTCCTGGTCTCACAGAATTCCAGCTGTCCCAAGACTGGAAAGTTGGCGTGTGCCTGGGACAGAGAGAGTAGAGTTGGGAAAATGAGAGCCAGGATGGAGAAAGACCCTGCCAGAATCAAGAGTTCACACCTGACCCCACAGGCAAGGTCCCTGTCCACTACAGAGCTAGGATGTTCAAGCTCATTGAAAGGGGTGGTCGTGTCAGTTCAGATTTTACACATCTGTGCAGAGGACCACCTCCTCCATCCAACCCCATCAGTCACCACTCCCTTGCCTCTACCTATGTGCTGAGCCCGACTGCCTGGGTGCCTCTCTCTTAACCTCTCCTGCTTTTTCTCAGCCTGAGCCCTTCCCAAGCTTTCCTAGCTATGGGGACCTATAGGCCAACCTTTTTGGCAAGTCAGCATTGAGCTACCTCTTCTTGAGATCTTGAAGTGCTACATTGTCTGTTGGCCAGTGGTGCCAAGGAGCTTGAGGTATCACCTCACCTTCATGGTCTGGGGCAAGATCAAGGTTGGTCCTCCCCCGCACAATGTTGCAAGTGTTCTGAGAGGGGTAGGCAAGGGCCGGGGTAGCTCAGAATCCAGGTCTCTTCTGTGGAAGGATAGGGGGGCTGTCTGAACTCAGACGTCCTTCTGGGGTTCCAGGATTGTCCCAGTGAAATAGCTAATTATTCTCTGGGGTATGGAGAGAGGTTTCTTCTGCCATCCTGATCCCCAAGCCCCTTTCCTGTACACACAAAGAGGCCCCAGAGGTTCAACTCAACTCTTGGCCATGCTGTTAGAAGAATAAATAAATAAATAAAACAACCACCATGTGCTGAGCACTTAGTAAGTGCAGGTGCTGTGCCAAGTGCTCTTTATCATTTTACTTAACCTTGACATTTATTCTCCCAGATGGGCATTACACCTACACTTTCCAGGTGAGAGCAAGGTGAGCCCAGAACTGTCTGATAATGAGCTTTGCCCACTTAACCTCATTCTGGGGGACCTCCTGCTGGCTCATTCTAAATCTCTATATCCACTTATTCTCTTTCTGTCAGTACCTTCTCCTTGGCCCACCAGCTGCTCAGGCCTCCCCAGCCTAAAAAGTACTTCCTTCTTCCCAACTCTTCTGACAGGAAGCTCATTTCTCTCTCTGGCCCTAGTGGATTTTAACCTGGCTTTGGGGTTCCAGGAAGCCCTGAAAGTCACCCCAATTTCCCAGTGGCAATTCTGGGGCTCACTCTTCTGATTCTGATTCTGGCAGGGACTTTCTTCCTACTCTGCCCTCTTACTGGGTGGGCTTTTCTTGGCACTTTGCCCCACTGGGCCATGCCCAAGACTCTGCCTTCAAGATCTGCAGCCCAGAAATCCCTGTGACTCCAGACTCATCCCCAGAAGCCTTCTGGACCCTGGTCAGGTACATTGCTGTTGTCTTCCCCAGCTATGTTCCCTCGCTCTTTGCACATTCAGTAATACTAGGTCCACTCCATTCCTCTGCTAAAGTTTTGTCCATGTGGCTCTTCCTGTCTGGCCTCAATTCTTGTAGTTTCCCACTAGGACCAACAGCAGCCTCTGGACTGATCTCCCTGACTCTGAGCCACCTACCTCTGAACTATCTCCTACACAGAGGCCAGGCATCTTTCAGTCAGAGATCTGACCTAGCACTATCCTACCTGCAACTGTTCATGGGCCCCATAATCTATAGTCACAGTCTTTAAATGAGTTGCTCACATGTCCCTGCCAGCAAAATGTTTTTGAGCACGTGTTCCCTTAATATGTGTTCACTCATTCTTCAAGATGGCTCCCAGTGATCCCTTTTTCTCAGACTCACATCCTTGTGTGATTCCCTCCTACAATGAGTAGGGCTGAGACAAGTAAGATAGCTTTGAAATGATGGACTGTTATTTCTGAGGCTAGGCCATAAAAGGAATGGTGCTCTTGGTTCACTCACTCTGGCAGGAGCTGGCAGCCATGTTGTGAGGACATTCAAGTAGTCCTGTGGTAAAGAACCAAGTGCTGCCAACACCCAGCATTAACTTGCCCACCATGTGAGTGAGTCCTCTTGGTAGTTATCTTCCAGTCTCTTTCAAGTCTTCAAATGAACATAGCCCTGACTGAAATCTTGGTTGCACCCTTGTGAGAAACCCGGAGTCAGAATCTGTCAGCAAAGCTGCACCCTGACCCTCAGGAGCTGGGTGAGAGGATCACTATTTATTGTTTTAAGTTGTGAAGTTTTTGGGTAGTTATTATTATTTTTTCTATACTGGGGATTTTTAAAAAAATATTTTATTTACATTTTAGTTTTCGGCAGAGACAACATCTTTGTTTGTATGTGGTGCTGAGGATCGAACCCGGGCCGCACACATGCCAGGCAAGTGCGCTACCACTTGAGCCACATCCCCAGCCCAATATGCTGGGGATTTTTTAACCCAGGAGTGTTCTATCACTGAGCCATATCCCCAGCCCTTTAATTTTTTTTTTCTATTGTTACTTTTGTGATGCTAGGGATTGAGCCCAGAGCCTCTCATATGCCAGCAAGTGCTCTACTGCTGAGCCCCACCCTCAGACTGAACTTTTAATTTTTTTTTTTAAATTTTGAGACAGGTTCTTGTTGAATTATGGAGAATGGCCTTAAACTGGAGATCCTGCCTCAGCCCTCCCAAATTGCTGGGATTATAAACATGTACCACTGTTCCTGGCTGGAGTAATTATTTTGTAGCAAGATAACTAATGCACATGTACAACTGCACAAACCTATTAAATACATTATAAACCATATAACTCTAAATAGAAACATAAAGATTAATATGTGTGGTTGGGTGTGGTGGTTCATGCCTGAAATCCCAGTGGCTCCTCAGGTAGAGGCAGGACGATTTCAAGTTCAAAGCCAGCTTCAGTAACTTAGTGAGACACTTAGCAACTCAGCAAGACACTGTCTGTAAATAAAATATTAAAGAGGGCTGGGGATGTGGCTCAGTGGTTAAGCACCCCTGGGTTCAATCCTCAGTACAAAATAAAAAGATTAATATGGATGCATATATGTATATATGTATATGGATACATATATACATGTTTAGCAGTAGTCCAAGCACAGTGGTCTAATCAATAAATGGAGAACATGGTTATAAGGTAGAAAACAGATTTCAAAACATCTTATTTCAGTACAAAATGCAAACAAGAAGATGCACAGTTGGTAAGTATACGGCTTTCTGCAGTTTTACAAGCTGAACATCACCGCATGACCAGCATCCAGACCAATAAGGTGGACGTTCTCTCACTCCCCGACCTTCCTGTGTTCTCTGCCAGTCTCTACCTACTGGGTAATCAGTATTCTGACTGAATTAGCATAGACTTGTTGGCCTGAATAAACCAGATTGTAAGTGATAAAATCAGAGAGTGTTAAATTAACAACCCAATTGTTACCAAAATCACTGGCCATGGGCCCAGTGCATGTAAACAAACACAAGGGTTTTCAGGACACAGAGAAATGAGGGCACACACAGAGCTGTCACTCTTTATGCAAGTGATGTGTTCCTGAATCTCTCACATAATCTAGACAATTCAAGTCTAGTTTTCTTGAAATATCTGCAAAGCAGGATTTGTACAATTTCACATTTGGAGCCTTAAGGGAGACTTGTTAGCATCTTTAATGTTGCCCAGTTTCTATAATTTAAATTATGTTAATTTCCACTTAGCATAATTTGAATTCAGACAACCCTCTCTGAAGCCCATGATTTAGCATCTCTGGGGCCCCAGGACTGTAATGTGTGGATGGAACGGGAGCCCAGTTCTGGGGGCAGCACATAGGGTGGAGCCAGGTTGCCCAGTCCTTCCTCTGCTGCTTTGACAAGCTATTGCCAACCAGGGCCTTAGCTTTCTCTTCTGCAAAATGGGTTGTGTTGGGGGATTATAAGAAAAGTGAATGAGTGAAAAGCCTTGGGATACATAGCAGGAGTCAGTGGAAGTTCTTCAGCATCAAACCAGCTGAGGCTCCCCACTGCCCCCTGTCCTCCATGCTGCTTGAAGGATTTCAGACTCTGCAGAAAAGACATGGAGTCAGGTTAGGCAGGCTGGGGAGCTGGCCTCCGGGGTCACAGACCTGAATTGGGCAAGAGCAGGGAACTGGTCGGTCCCTCTGATCCTGGTCAGGGATATTTGGAGACACTGACAATTCTGGGAAATTCAGAGGTGGAGAGTGAAAAGGGCAGAGACAGAGGGGGAAACAACACAGAGCATCCCAGCGCCCCCAGGCCTGCTCCTCTTCCTAAAGGGTTCAATGAGGTGTGAGGTGACTGGCTTGTGGGTGTGTGTGGGGACAGGTCAGAAGATTCCCCTTCCCTGGGGAGGAGAGCAGAGGCAACTCATCCCCCACTCCCACCCCCAAGTTCCAAATCTATTTCCATCTTTGTTTACTGTCCAAAGTCCCAAACACTAGAGATGCCAGATTCTGTGTGCTCAGACACACAGACACCCATACACACAGACACACGGGTCCAGGGCCCTCATATGGACCCTGCCTTCTCCACTCCCACTGTTCAGGGCTGGCCACCAACTCCAATTCTCCAGGTTTCAGCCCCTTTCTTAGCCTGGGATCTGCATAGCATCCAGGGACCTGGGAGCCAGACCTACAGAACTTCAGCAAGTAAAATGGGGATGGAGAGAGAGAACAGTTGAAGGAGTGATTGAAGGGGCTCTCTCTCTCTCTCTCTCTCTGTGTGTGTTGGTGGGGTTGGGTGGAAAAATGGCAGAGGATGGATTTTGGATGTAGGCCTTGGAGGGGATGAAAGAAAGAAGAGTCTCCATTGGGTCACTGGTCAGAGGTAAAAAAGGAACAGATCCCACACTCTAGGCCCTGTTCCCTTCAGCCCCAAACTCAGTTCCAACCTTGGCCTTGACTTGTCCCAGGTCCAACACCAGGCCTATCATGACGAAGGAATATCAAGATCTTCAGCACCTGGACAATGAGGAGAATGACCATCATCAGCTCCGAAGAGGTGAGGGACACCTCTCCCATCTGAAACAGGAGTATTTGGGAACCTCTTGCCCCCTTAGTCTGCTTTTTTCTGTGACACCTGGTTCTGTCCTTGGGTCTGACGCACTCACATGGAAAATGGTGGTCGAGACCCACACGTTAGGGGAGGTGCAGGCTGTGGGATTAGAGTCCCTTTCTTGGTGACAGCTGCCCAAGCTTCCTTACTGTGTTACCCAATTCTCAGGATCTTGGGTAGGGAGTGAATCCAAGGTATGGGAACAACTGGAAGTTGGAGAGGTGGGCTTATTTCTTCGAAGGTAGTGCCCTCTTCATTTCCTCTTCCAACACAGCTGTGGAGAGGCTTGGACAGTGTGTGTGGGTGGGCGAGGTGTCAGGATCAGCTTGGCCAAAGAGGTTAGGTTAGGAAGCCTGTAAAAAGGCAGAAGGTCTCTGCTCTGGGAAGGATGAATCCCCTTCCTCGTGCATCCAAAATAAGTTCCCTCTCCCCACTTCTTGGTCTTCCAGAGCAAAAAGGAATCATTTGTGGGGATGGTGGGTACTGGGGAAGAGAACGGGAAGGGGAGGCCCCTACACTCCAGTTCACAGGGACCAGACTCAGTGTCATTCTCTTCTTCATGGGTGAGCGAGACCCTGCCTTTTGTCTGCATGCACATGAAGATGGGTGGTATTCACAGAGAGAGGAAGAAACCTCTTCACTTTCAGGGGGCACAGTGACAGACTCCCCTAGGTGGGCCTCTGATGAGGTTCATTAGCTGCAGTGTCACAGTAATGCCACTAGGTGTCAGCAAAGTCTCAAGTCTTTGGCAATGCTAGGGAAGGTCAAAGATTTGCACCCCTGGGGATCCTTATTCCCTTCCCCACCTCCAGTTATGCTGGCCCTGCAAAGTGGCCCATTGCCTGGATTTCTTAATCTGTATGGTTCCTCCTAGTCTACTAGAGTGGCCTTAGCCTGCTCCTCACCAAGTGCCCTGCACCTACTCCAGGCTGGCCTGTGTCCCTGAGCTCCTGATCCTCTCTCTTGCAGGGTTACCTCCTTCTCAGCCTTTTTTGCAGCGGCTCTGCTCCGGACCCCGCCTCCTCCTGCTCTCCTTGAGTCTCAGCCTTCTGTTGCTGGTGGTTGTCTGTGTGATTGGATCCCAAAGTGGGTGCCCAGGGGTGACAGGGAAGGGAGCAATATTGTGATGGGTTCAGTGCTGGTGAACACAGTCTCCTCCTGTTTTCATCCCCATGGCCTCTCCTGCACAGACTCCCAGCTGAAGGAGGAGTTGAAGGCCCTGAGTAAGACCTTCAGCAACTTCACAGTGAGCACTGAGGCTGAGGTCAAGGCCCTGAGCACCCAGGGTGAGGGGGATTAGGGTTGGGAGCTGGGGCAGGGGGATGGTTAGGACATCTGGACACTGAGCAAGTCTCTTCCCCCAGGAGGCAATGTGGGAAGAAAGATGAAGTTGCTGGAGTCCCAGCTGGAAAAACAACAGCAGGACCTGAGTGAAGGTCAGAGTGTGTGTGTGTGAGTGTGTGTGTGTGTGTGTGCATGTGTAGGTGCAGGGTATGGAGTGCAACTCTCAGACCAAGCCAAGGCTTCTTGGCAGGGGCATCTGTGATTGGTCTTCCCAGAGAAATGACAGATCCCGCCCATCATGTTCATACTGACCTTATTTCCCTCTCATACTCTCCTCCTCCTGCTCCCCTTCTGTCCTCTGTCTCCCCAGAACACTCCAGCTTGCTGCTCCACGTGAAGCAGTTTGTATCTGACTTGCGAAGCTTGAGCTGTCAGATGGCTGTCCTCCAGGGCAATGGTGAGGGGGCCACCCAACCCCGCTTTTTGCCCCCCTTCCAGGTAGCGCTCCAGGCTCTTCACCCTCCCTCTTCCCTCTCAGACTCTGTAAGGACCTGCTGCCCCATTAACTGGGTGGAACATGAAGGTAGTTGCTACTGGTTCTCCAGCTCTGGGAGGCCCTGGCCGGAGGCTGACAAGTACTGTGAGCTGGAGAACTCTCATCTGGTGGTGATCACCTCCTGGAACGAGCAGGTGAGGCCCTGGTGGGCACTTCTGGGAGACTGACTTGTGTAAGGGAGAGGTCACCACTCCTCTCTTCTCTTTCCAGAAATTTGTCCAGCACCACATGGGCCCTTTGAACACCTGGATGGGTCTAACAGATCAAAATGGCCCTTGGAGATGGGTGGATGGGACTGACTATGAGACAGGCTTCAAGTGAGTGGGTGTGACTGCTCAAAGCTTTGTGTCTGGCACCTTCCCAACCTCTGGCTCCAGGGTGGGGGGGCTCCTGGGGATGTTGGCTGAGTCTGACTTCCTGGGGCACCTGGCTGTCTCCTGTCTACAGGAACTGGAGACCAGATCAGCCAGATGACTGGTATGGACATGGGCTGGGAGGAGGCGAGGACTGTGCCCACTTCACCCCTGATGGCCGTTGGAATGATGACTTCTGCCAGAGGCCCTACCGCTGGGTCTGTGAGACAGAGCTGGGCAAAACCAACTAGGAGCCTTTCTCCCCCTAATTTATTTCCTCAATGCCTTGAGCTGCTGAGGTCTGGGATTGGAAATCCTCCTATGTGGGGGTCTGCACTGTCTTGGGGATTTTCATCTAGGATGTAAGGGGAGGGGTGAGTGTACAGTGTTGTTTGGAAGGGTGGGGTGATGGCAACCCATGACACTTTCAGCAGTGTGAAGCTTATTATTGACAATTTTTTTTTTTAGAGTAAAAGGAAGAGAAATATATTTAAACGTTCTATGAACTGTCTGGTTACTGGGCATTAGGAACTGGGAGCGGCCTGGTTGGCATTAGGAAGACCTGGACAGGTAGAGGTATCATGAGAACTGAATGGGCTTTGGGCCAGATGGTCTGGGTAGGAGTCCAGCCTTGTTATTTGCAAGTGTTGAGCTTAGGCAAGTAACTCTGTTCTATGAAACTCAGCCACAAGATAGGCTTGTTAGTGGGGACCATCTACCTGCTGCAATACTTCCAGATCTGAACCACCCCAAGTTGTTGAGTGCTTCAAATACCTTAAATGAGCCATTTGCATGGTGACGTCTATAATCCAAGCTACTCAGGAGACTGAGACAGGAGAATTACAAGTTTGAGGCCAGACAGTAATTTATTGAGACTCCAAAAAATAAAAAAAGGCTAGGGAAGTAACTCAGTGATAGAGCACTTGCCTAGCATGTGTGAGGCCCAGGGTTCAACTCTTAGTACCACAAAACAAAAACAAACAAACAAACACTTTGGATAAAACTCACTGGCATCTATTATATTCAGTGCATTAAATAGAAGTCACATTCATAAACAGGTGACAAATACCATGAATACATACAACCTGAGTCACCAAACATATGAGGACAACCAGGATTTTGAAAGAGAAGCATCAGTATTAACAGAATCAACAGTCAAGCCTGGGAGTGAGGACAATTAGGACTTTACAGATACTTCTGGAAATAGTAACAAAAATAGACAAGAGTGCTTGCTCACATACAAGACATATGCTAATTTCAAAAACAAGCAGTGCTCTGACCATAATATAGCAGTTAGAAATGGAGAGCAAAGTACATCCTGTAAAAAATGTATCAACAGCCAGGCACAGTGGTCCATATCTGTAATCCCAGGGACTTGAGAGGCTGACTGCAAGTTTGAGGCAATTTAGGGAGACCCTGACTCAAAATTAAAAGAGGGAAAAAGCTGGGGATGAGTATGGTGGGGCACACCTGTAATCCCAGCAACTTGGGAAGTTGAGGCAGAAGGATCACGAGTTCAAGGCCAGCCTCAGCTACTTAGGGAGACCTTAAGCAATGTTGTGAGATACTGTCTCAAAAAAAAAAAAAAAAAAAGGGCTGAGGATGTAGTTCAGTGGTTTCAATCTCTCAGGATCAGGAAAAGGAAGAAAGAAAGAAAATAAAAAACAAAATAAAGGATCAGTTATGTATCTAAATACATTGTTGATTATATTAAATGTAAAAAACTAAGTTGTCTTGTTAAAAGACAGACATTTCCAGACAAACTAGAATCCAATTACATGCTCAAAAGACACATCTGAATCAGAAAAGTTGAAAACAAAAATATGAAAAACATATTGGGGCAAATTCTAATTGAAATAAACTATCATAAGAAAGTATACTTTATAACAAAAAGTATTGTTAGAGAAAAAGAGGGCCACTTTCTAAAGATAAAATGTTCAAAAATTCAACAGGAATATACACCAGTAATAAGTATGTATGCACTGAATAACATAGCCACAAAACCTATGAAGTACAAAATTTTGAACTACAAGAAAAAAAATAGAGGGCTGGGGTTGTAGCTCAGTGGTAGAGCATTTACCTTGCACACATGAGGCACTGTGTTCGATCCTTAGCACCATATAAATAGATAAAATAAAGGTATTGTGTCCATCTACAACTAAAAATATTTTTTTTAAAAAAGAAAAAATAGAAAAACCTATATTTTTTTTTCTGTAAAAGGATGATCAAACATCTTCCTCAGTAATTGATAGATCAAGCAAATAAAAAATAAAAACCTTTAGGATACAGATGTTTTGAAGGCAGAATAATCTATTATGACCTAATGGACATATTCACTGCACTTCACTCATCATCTGCAGAATATCCATTCTTTTCAAGTACTCCCAGACATTTAAAAAAAATGGTGCAAATACTGGGACATAAAGCACCTTTTAATAAATTTCTAATGGGGAATTTTCACTACCATGAGGGGAAATATAAAACTCCTCTATCAAAATTAACTAATCAAATCAGCATATTATGAGATATCATATTCAAGTAGCATATATATCAAGAATTCAGATAATTTAACATCAGAAAAATTGGTTAGTATGATAGATTTAGGGAGTATAGAAGGATCGATTAAGGGACGATAAAAGATAAAATTACACAATACAGAAAAGCCCTCAGCAAAAGTTCAGCTCCTCTGCACAATAAAACCTTTCAGGACTTTGGCAGCTTCTATCTTGTTGCTTCACTGCTGTTTGACTACATGTTCCAAGACACCTGCCCCAGTCACGACACACTCCAGACCAGGGAAAAGAGAAGGACAACAGCACACTTTCTTTCTCTGTCAACAGGACAATTCTGGAAGTTGTCAGCTTACATCTCTTGGATCAGAGTGAGTCTCAGGGCCACAGTTAGCTGCAAATGGTTCTGAGAGGTGCACTCTTTATTCCACAAGGAAAAGTTCAGGGAATTCTATTTTTGTAGAGCAGGAGTCAACATATTATGGCACTCACCTGTTTTTGTAAATAAAGTTTTATTGGAACACTGCACTGTTTGTCTATTGATGTATCCTTTATGACTGCTTTGAAGCTTCAACAGCAGAGTGGAACAGTTATGATAAAGACTGTGTGGCTAGGAAAGCCTGAAATATTTCCTATCTGATTCTTTACAGAAAATATTTGCTGACTCCTGGTTTAGAAAAAAATGGGAGAATTGATATTAGAGATCTCTTGGAAGTCTCTGTCACAGAGTTGTTATTGCTGCTGTGAACAAACCGTATAAGACAGGAAAAGGCATTGCAATTGTAGGGCTGGAAGGCTGGAGATGTGTGGCTTGGTGGTAGAGCATTTGCCTAGCGTGTTTGAGACCCTGGGTTCAATTCCCAGTACCGTAAAACAAAGCAATCAAAAAATATGACTGGGTGAAGTAGTGTAAGCCTGTCATCTCAGCTGCTCAGGCAGGTTGCAAGTTTGAGGCCAGCCTGGGCAACTTAGCAAGACACTGTCTCAAAAAAATATAAAAGGCTAGAGATGTAGCTCAGTGGTAGAGAGCCCATGGGTTCAATCTCCACTACTGTAACACATAAACAAACAAACAAAGAAAAATAAAGACCAAAACAAAACAGTACTGCAATTATATAAGAACAAATAGACTAATAGTATGGAATGAAGAACTCAGGGGCTGGGGTCGTGGCTCAGTGGTAGAGCACTTGCCTAGCATGTGTGAGGCACTGAGTTCAATCCTCAGCACTGCATATAAATAAATGAATAAAATAAAGGTCCATCAACATTTTATTTTTTATATTAAAAAATTTTTTTAGTTATAATGGACAACAATATCTTTATTTTTATTTATTTTTTAAAATGTGGGGCTGAGGATTGAACCCAGGGGCCTCATGCGTGCAAGGCAAGTGCTCTACCACTGAGCCACAACCCCAGCCCTCCATCAACATTAAAAAAAAAAGAACTCAGAGACAGACCTGTGGGTCAATGGGAACTTAATATACAAAAAAGCAGGCAACTAAAATTGGTGGAGGAAAGATATTGGGGAAATTGGCTTTCTATATTAAGAAAAATAAAATTGGATCCATCTCTGACACCACAGACATAGCTGGATCCTGAATAGATTGAAGACCTAAACATGAAAGTTAGAGAACAAACAGAAAGTAGGGAGAAGGAAATCTATATTCCTAGGACTTCTAGAAGGACTTAAAAGTACTTTTTTTTTTTTTTTTTGATAAGCCCTCCAAAGCACATACCGAAAAGCCAGAACAATTTGCTGAAATCGCATGAAATTTAGAAATTTCAGTTCAATGACAAGGTTTCAGTTAGGCTCCCAGCAAGCAACACATGGCATACTCAAAATGAGTAATTGAAGGATGTTTTAATAAAAGAACTATTCGTAAAGGTGTTAGCAGGATTAAGGAAGCCACAAGAAGTGAGACGGGAACCCAGGTGCCCCAGAGTGGGACCAGAGGTAGAGGGCCTCCCAACAGGAACTGTGACTTTTAGTTGTGGGAGGCAGCCAGCCCACAGCAGCCCTGCAGGGAGCATGCTGAGAGGCAACATCCTCATTCCCCTTTTCCTCCTTCCAATTTCCTGCTAGACCTGGGAGCCAGATGGCAAGGGAGCAATTTGATGCAGTCATACAGTTCAGCCTTCCAGGCCACAGAACAACCAGAAAAGGGTAGAGAGAGTCTGGAGGAACAAATGGAAGGCATCCAGCAAAGAAGGAACACAGAGAGGAAGAAGATAGGAGACCTATCAGAGAAGCGGAAAAGGGTAGAAACAGGCTGTTCATAGAACAGGGAGCCTGCAGAAGACATGCTTACGATCCCTAGAAACTAGAGAAATTCAATTCAGAACATCAGTGACCTGTCTTTTTATACCCAGTCATTGAAAAAAGTCAGAGGGGAGGGTTGTGGTTTGTGGCTCAGTGGTAGAGCGCGCTTGCCTCGCACGAGTGAGGCACATTGGGTTTGATCCTCAGCACCATATAAAAATAAATAAAATAAAAGTATTGTAAAAAAAATAAAAAGAATGCATATATATAGCCGAGCATGATGGCACATGCCTGTAATCCCAGTGGCTTCAGAGGCTGAGGCAGAAGTATCATGAGTTCAAAGCCAATTTCAGCAAAAGCAAGGCATTATGCAACTCAGTGAGTCCCTGTCTCTAAATGAAATACAAAATAAGACTGGGGATGGGCTCGGTGGTTGAGTGCCCCTGAGTTCAGTACCAAAAAAAAAAAAAAAGAATACATA